GTAAGGTACTTCTTTTAGAATTGATTATTCATCAAATATTCAAATTTTCCATATTTTAAATTATATCTTATTTCTATAATAAAGTTTTATAATGAAATGTAGCTACTTAATCAATTTTTTGATCTAAATTTGTATTTGCAGGTCACTATTAATTATTTATTACAACTTTGTAAAAAAATTAATAATTATACCATTTGTTAGCTGATTAAATCAAATGTAAATTCTTATTCATAAATAATAGTTGTGCATTTCAACCTTAATTAGGAAAAGCTGGTTAAGTAAGGGAATATTATTTTAGATTTCTAAACTGCTTATCCTTTACTTAAATTTATTAATTTAAGTAGATTCCATTGATTTAATTATTATTATTAAGTAGCAATAAGATTTTAATCAATTTCAATATCAATTTCATTCAATTTAATGTACACTATATTCTATTTGAATAATTCCAATCATTTAAATAATCTATCCAACAATTTACATTAAGAAATTATAATTATGTTGAATTAAAGTAAGGAAGTTTGATTGATTTGAGGGAAAACTTTTATTAATAATGTTAATTCAAAAAATAATTAGTTAATCTTAAGGAAATTAGAATATATAATAAATCTGAGGATAAGAAAGAAAGAAGGGTTGATATTCATAAATAATTTTGGAAGACATTAAATAATTAGATTTATCATAGTTGGATGTAAATAGCATATGTGGATTGATTTATAATAAGTATTATTTGTTAAGAATCAGCTTAAAAACCTTTATAGGTGTATATATATTAAGAAAGTAATTTGGAAATTGGAAAAATATAGGATCAAATTATGTAAATATCAACAATATAATTAAGGTGGAGGCGTTTATAATTCAGGAAAGAAGGATGGATTTAGGATTGATTTGCATATATTAAGGCAATTATGAAGATGGAGTTAAATAAGGGATTTGATAAACTATTTTAAAATAAGATGCATATTAAAGTGGATAGTTCATTTGATTAGAAATGATTGATTCCAAAATTTGATGATCCTTAGATTGTATGTAAGAGACTAAATGCATAATAAAACAAACAATAAATAATTGATGTTATAAATCTCAAAAAAAAAGATACTGGCAAATAATAATTTTATAATTAATGTCTTAAATTGAAAATTTGAAAATATGTTATCAAACATAATTTAATTTTAATTAATTATTTTCTTTCGTTAATGATGTTAGATTAACTAGCGATAGACTTTTATTTATATATAATTACACCTAATTAAACCAAAGCAGGTATTCTTCAAACATATTTTATTACATCTTCACTGTCCCCCAAAGAAACATCAGCTTATAAATAACTAATTGAATCTTCCAAGTTAGAGGAAATATTAGATTTGAAACTCTATGTTTGAATAATATAGCTTTCACTTATATTTTTTCTTGCATTTAAATATAACTCTGATTGTAATATTAAAATTACTGAAAGTTTCCCATTTCTATCCCCTTTTCTTTAATATTGTTTTATTTTGTTATGATGTGATGAAGGATTTATAAGATTAGATTTCAAATTTGCAGAAATCATTTTATATATATATGCCAGTTCTCTTGATTCTGATATTACTAAGCTTTTTTTGCATCCATGTAATTCTAAGACTAAACAAACTTCAAATCATAATTGTTTAGTACTAATATTATAAATTAAGTAAACATTTCTCAATATAATTAAAGATGAAAATATTGAGTTTTAACTGCACATCATATTAGCTTTTTTTTAGAAATTCTTAAATAATTAGATTAAGAAAAGGTTTATATAATATATATCTGTGCTACATTTATTAGGATTATGTTAAAAGATATTTATTACCCATTCTTTTTAAGTGTTACGCTTAGAATCAAATCCGAAAGCCATTCCTTATTAAAATTAAAGTTCTTAAAGAAGCCCTTTTAATATTAGAAAAAGCAAACGTCAATTCAAATATACCCATTTATTCTTTATTAATTATTTGGCTAATCTTAATTATATCCAACAAAAACTATAATAAGCTTAAAATAAGTTACTTAAGGTTTATTTATTGATTTCTTTATGATTAAAATTTAATTTCAACAAAATTACGTAATATTTAGAACATTAGGTAGATATTTATATATCATTTAAACTAATTAAAAGCTAAAATTAGTCAATATAATACATACAATACAATTGTTGAAAGAAAGGTGTTTAGTTAAAACAATTTTGCAAAGTTCTTAGACTATTTAAAAAATAAAGGAGTGGTTGATTTTGGATACTTGTTCTTCAATTTATTTTTAATAATTACTGAAATTAAATGAAGATTTTATTTATTTTCAAAAAACTATAACATTTATTTTATTTATACATTCAACCTTAATGTTTTTATTTCTAGTTCTCAAGGTTTTATCATATAATAAAGGAATGCAGCCTATATTATTGTTCTATAATTACCAATATTACTTTATATAAGTATTTACAATTTAATTTATATTTAAGTAGAAAATAGTTGATTTTTATTTATCATTTAAATCTAATTTATTCTTCTTTGATTATTAAAAGAGTTGTTAAATATCTTCTATTTCATTTAGATTTTAATATGAAATTTTATTTTCTAGAATTATTATTATAAATATTAATATATTAGTCAATTGAACAATTTTTAAATAATATTAATTATAATTAAAATTACTTGAAAATGACTTGCAATCTAACATTTTTTGTTGATGAATTCTGAGAAGCTTTGAGAATGAAAATTTTCTCTATGCTCTTAAAATTTTGAAAATTCTCCTTAATTTACATCAATTTTTATCAAGTGTTGAATGTATTTTGAACTATATACCCAATAATTTCCTTTATGAAAATTTATAGATTAAATAATATTGAATAAGTTTAAGTTTTTCTTTAATTAGATTTATTTTTTGATAAAAAAACATATTTCAATTATTCACAAAATGAATGATTAAAATCATAATAAAAAAATTAAATTATACATATTTAAAAGGAAACTTTAAAGAAAAAAATTGTAAAAATTTTTATTTATAACTATTAATAATACATATCAATTATATTTTTAAATAAAATTCTTCTATTCATTTTTTTAAATCAAAAAATTAACCTAATATCAGATTGCGCTAAATCATACCTGAAATGTTTTAAATTCTTTCCAGATTTATAATTCTTTAAGTCATTTTTTGATAAATTCAAATAAATGAAACTTATTTAACAAATGAAATTGGCCAATTAAAATTGAAACAAAAAATAAAACCCAAATAATTTAAAATTAGGCAATTAATATGATAACTAAACAAATTGTTGTATAACATTGTTCTTATGATAACAACTACTAATCAATTTTATTTTGGGAAGTTCCGATTTCTTTTAATATCAATTTCATAATAACAAATTTCAAACCTAAGAAATTATACTCACAATTATTTATAGATCAATTTATATTTTTAGATTTGACATCCAACTCTACTTATCTACCAATTTGAATTCTCAAAGTATATATACTAATATTTCACCTACCATTACTTTCATAAATATATTCAAAATAATTACGTTGTTTCTTTTTAAAGATAATTTACCATTTGTCTTCAAACTATTATTAATATTTGATTATCAAATATAAGTAAAAAATTATCTTTAACTCTCTTACCTTCCTATTTCATTCTAAAGAAATATCGTAATATCCTCACAACTAAAATTTATTATTTTTGTGACCTTCTAGATTTTTTTATAATTTTTAATCATATTTCTGGTATTTAAAAAGCATTTCCTAAAATATTTGATTCAAATTTAATAAGTGGAGCAATTGGAACATAAAAATGAAATTATATTGTTTAACTTTATATTTAGAATCATAATTAATTATAGTCTTAAGAATATTAATATTCCATCTGATATTTAACAAATTTAAAAGACATTTACTTTTGATGAATTAAATAAAGTTTAACAATTTAGAGTACGAAGTTAAAAACTAAAATATGATAAAGATATTTTAAGAAAAGGAAGATTAATATGAATATTAAATAATTAGAAAGTTATAAAAATTTTTAATTAAAACATATAAACTAGTATTCATCATTCTCGATATAATAATTATGGGAAAATAATTTGAATTAAAATAAAAATTTTAAATTATTAAGAAAAGATAAATCAAATTGAACACTAATTGGAAGAATAAATATTCAAAATAAATAATAAGGATAATAATTTTAAGAATAAATAAGCCAATATTATAAAAAATTAAGAATGATGTAAATTTAAAATGAATAAATATTAAGTAATCTCAATTAATTAAAATGATAATAAATCCATTATTAAAAATCAAATAAATATCAATAATAATTAATTCTATCTTGCAGATAAGAATCATAAAAAAGATATTTGTTATTTTTATTAATGAGATTAATAATATTATTAAAATTTAAATACTTAAATTGAATTACATCATAATAGACCTTTTAATATAAAGAGAAGTATCTAATATTAGTAAAATGAAAAATTTACTTTATTTTTTATTTCCTCTAAATAGAGTGAATTCTTTAGACATTAGGAAAATTCTAAAGGTTTTGATTATAAATTAATAATACATACGAGAATTGAATATTATTAAGTAATATATAATAGGCAATGGATATTCTGGTTAAAGAGAATGGACTGAAAGATCCGAAACTTTGAGGCAATCCTTAATTGCTTTAGCTAATTTAAAATAATAAATAATGTATTTAATTTAAAGCTGTAATGACCTCAAAATTTAGAGAGTTCCATCTTTAGAGAGCTAGTTTTAGAATCATTTTACTGAAATAAAAGAAGTGGAATTAACAAATAATTAATCACCTAAACTAAAGATAGGATAAAAAATAAGAAATTTATGAAATTGAATAGAAATATCATTCCTCAAGTCCAAAAAAAAAAAAAAGTCAAAGTTTATTTCACCATTAGAATACTCAGAATAATTGGTTTTAAAAAGTCTAAAAAAAGTAATAGAATGAAATTAACTTTAAATTAAAATAATTCAAATTAAAGAAAATATTCTGATCTTCCTTCTAAAACTGAGAAATCTTAAATATAAGAATTCTTATAATTTGCCTGTGATTTTTAAAGAAGTTTTTTCTCTAAAAATAAAAATAATCCTATCTTACAATTACATTTCTTTTTGTTCTTTAGTATCCACTTGTGAAATTTCTACAGTAAATTCATTCTTAGGTTTAGGAAATGATTTTAATTTCTGTTTGATCATTTATTTTAACTTCTATTCATTCTTTAATTATTATTATTTTTCTTATTCAGCATTAAAATAGGCAATACTTTAACTAAATTCTTTGCATGCCCTTTTGTAATTTTAATATTAACACCAAATGTATACTTTGACGCTTCAACTTATCTTCTTGGAGTCTATTCAACATATTAGCTAATTGATTTGGTGTTTAATTCCCAATATTCTTGATAATAATAATATTAGATATGCTTTTTAAATTTTGGTGTTAAAACAACAACAAAGATAAATATTTGAAGATAATATAATTATTAATTCTCTGGAGAAAAATACTATCTCAAAGATACTGTATAATTAAATATTATGAATATTATAGTAGATCATTATTCGAATGATTACTGAAATGAAATTGAAAAAAAAGAATTCAAGAATTAAATAAATATTATAGATATATTTTATATATGATAAAAGTTGAATATTGCGAAAGAAAAAATAAATGAGAAAATAAATAGTATTTTATCATATAATTCCATTTATATTTAAAAAAATTATAATAAATCTTTTCTCAAGAGTTTAAGTTAAAACGTCAAATACAAAACGCAATTTAGCAATTTTATGAAAAGAAACTAATGATTAAAAATATATGGAAATTTATAATGATTGAAAGAACAATAATTGTATTATTGTTCAAGATTTATTATAAGCAAAATGTTTAGATTTTCAAAAAGTAAAGTTAGCAATTAGAATTTATAACAATTTAGAAAGCATTTGAATCATATAAAAATTAGTACCAATTGAAGCTAGGAGAATCAAGTGGATTTGGATATGTAGTAAATAGATTTTGAATTCAACTTATTCAGAATTATTCTGAATTCATGTTTTATACTTAAATACTAACCATATTAAATATCGTAATTTATATATGTATATAAAGTAGGCTAAATTATAAAATTAATAGATTATTTAATCAGTCAAATTCCATTATTGTAAATTTAGAATGATCATAATCCAAAAGCTATAACCTAAATAACTATAAGTAGATGAAAAGTTTTTAGGGTCAGTATTTAAAATTATAATATTTTTATTATCAGGCATTACTATCTTTAATAATATTTCAATATTTTAATTAGCCAAATTTGTACATTAAACGAAATCATTATTTGTTGTCTTTCTTTAGATATTCAAATAACACTAAAAATCAAATGCTTTCTATATATCAATGAGCTCAATATGTTTGAAAAGGTAAAAATTTCAGCTTTTTAGGTTTTTATATTATTTTATATATTTTTTTAACAAACTATCAATTACCTTAAAAAGCTAATTTATTTTTAAAGTTGATCAAAATTGAAATAATCTTGTAATTTTTTATTTATATAAATAATTAAAATAATTCATGTGAAAATTTTGTTAAACCATTATTAAATTTAATTTCATCTTAAATAAAGATATAAAAATTATATTTCTAATCCTACATCTCATGTCAGAAATGAATCATTCATAACATACTTCATTAATACTTCATCAGAAATAGACATGATTGATTATCCTTTTGAATTATGATTTCCAGTTTGTTTTGCCATTTGTTAAAAAAATGTGTTAAAATAGAGAAAGTCACCTGGATGTTTTCTATGCTCCTCCAAGTAATTTAGCATCTCTTTTATCAATCTCAAAATCTGACTTTTTAACTTCTCTATTGAAAGTTCTCCTTTTTGATCAAATTAGCTTTTGATTTACACTTTAAGTTTTTCAAAATCTATAATTGATATTCCTTTACCTGTTGAGTTGCTAATAAATAATTTTTTCGGTTGTTTCAAATGTGAACATTAGTAAAATATTAATAAGTGATTTTTAAGTATATCAAGTTATTCCCTGAATCAGCCTTTATATTATTTAAATTTAAATTAGTATTTCATAAATACAAAAATCTATATTTTTAATTCTGCATTTATTTTAGTAGAATAGTGGATAAAATTTAAAAGTAAATTGTATTTATCTATTAAAGAATAAATATCAAATTGAAAAATAGATTGTTAATGCCACTTTTGGAAAAGGTGGTAATAAATTCTTTATAACATTTAAGTTAAACATATGCCTAATTAATTTATTAATTAATTAAAAAATTTTTGAAAATCATTTGATGATTTTTTGAGTTATGTTAAAGGATTAAATAGAGCAAAAAAAAGTAATTTAAATTGCGTATAATTTATTTGATAATGAAGATAAATTATAATGGCTACTATGATTGCATCAAAGATATCATTACTTATTAAATAAATTTCTGAAATCTGATTATTATTAAATTTAATTAGATTTATATGAATTATCAATTAAAAGTAATAAAAAATCTTCAATAAGAAAGTATAGACACAATTTTTTTAAGAAGATGCTAAAGCTGAAGAATTAATAAAGAGAAGTGAACAAAAAAAAAAGTTGAATTGTCTACATAAAGAGCAGTAGAAGGTGCTTAGTAAGTTACTAACAAAATAATGAAGAAGCTTATGCATATGTAGGAGTGAGGCCTAAAGAAGTTTAGGATACTCAAGAAGCTGGAGAACAGACTGGGAAAATTATATAAAGTAGAATGATTGACAAATGATATTTGGTAAGCTAAGGAATGTCTAAATGATCCCCTAATGAAGAGTTTATAGCAAGGAATATTAATTGATATAAGAAGAAGAAGGTTGCATTGATGAAGCTTAGGATGGATTTTTTTAGATTAGATATCTAATTAATCCTCAAGAGAGAATATCAAATTTTTAAATTAGATTATAAAACATGAATTCTACTCATGATTTATCCAAATAGAAGTAAAGTTCAATTTAAATCAAACAGACTTTTAAAACTAAATGATAAAGAATGGCATATCTGTTGTTAAACATTCTTATTTGCAAAGCAAACATATAAAAATTGTTCATCCTTAGGTTACGATATTATTAAGTATATGGTAAGAATAAATTATTTACTAGTGTAAAAATGAAATCATTTGATTCTAGATGACAGATAAATACTGAGGATTCTAAAAAAAGATAGCTTATTACATGAAAATCTTGATGGATTATTGATGGTATTTTTGAATAGGAATTTTGAAAGAGAATCAATTCTTTATTAAAATCCATATCATATTTTGATAGTAGGATTAAATCTTAGTGTAGGCTGAGTTTACTGTTTATTGAATCAAAAAAATAATTATGAATTAAATGTTGATCTATAACCTACATCCTTCACTTAGAATTTATGAAACAATTTAGCAAATAATAAAGTTTTTGCCGTTTGAGTGATGTATTCATATTAGGAGATAGAATACTAAATAATTTTCTTGGATTTATTAATAAGGATTATAAAGTTTATATATTATAAAGATATTGAATTGAATGGGCATATATATATGATATACTAGATTTGAATAAGATAATTCTTGATATTAGTTGAGGTGGATTAATGAAAAAGACTGTCTAGCCATACATTTTGGAAAGTATATTCTCAGCTTGTTAGAGTATATTTTAATTTTAAGCATTTTTTTAATAACGTAATGTAGAGGAGGGCATATAAATTAATTTAAATTCTTTTCTGAAAAACATCAATTGGAGTTTAAAATGATAATGCAGCTGTTGATACAGAGTTTACTGAATGTAATTTCCTTTTGTTTAGATATTCATTCATCATAAATATCTTGAACTTAATCTAAAATTTCAGAGAGATCGTCTTTCCTTATATACCCTACTTATTAAATCGGTTTAACCTAGATTTTAAAATAATTACTTACTTAAATTCTGTCTCTTATTTCTATAATAAACTATTAAGATATATTTATAATTCTTCATAACCTTTGAAACAAATTTTGAGCTTATTTTGAAGTCACAATCCTGGTGAATTTTTTTAATCTTTTCAACTATTGTTGTTGGATCAATGACTGACATTTCACTTTAGATTAACAAATCTAATTCTCCAAAAAAGCTATATTAAGTTAGAGAATCGATTAAGTTATTAATCCAATCCTAAGATAACCAAATTAAAAAATCAAGTTGTTGGATCAATCTTGTTTTTAGACCATCAATCATTTTCTAAAAGCCTTCAACCGATTATAAGTGAGGTTTGATTATTGGCTTGTATTGATTAATCTTTTTTCTTTATGCATCAAAGCTTTATTTAATTGATTGATAATCCATAATCTAAAGAATTAGTTAAATTCTATCAACGACAGGACTTGCATAACAGCCTTTCATCTCTTGAGATTTAAGAAAAACAACAAATTCGATCTGCTGTTGGTGTACTTGGTTTAAAATTTTTCACAAATGTCTAAGAATAACTATTTTACAAAAAAAACTGCACAAAAAAAAAAGAAAAAGCTGGAAGTTCCACAATTATTTACACAAAACTCATTATTAAGCTTGAAATTGCTTTTTAATAAGAAATTTAGCTTAAAATCCCCAATCCCCTTACCTTTAAGTTAAGGTTATTCTAAATAGTTATTAAGTTAAGATGTAGTTGAAAAATAAGTTTCTTGATTTGATTTTTTGTTTGCCAATAATTATATGATTAAAATTTAATTAGATAAATAGTATCAATAAATAAATAAAAATTGAAGCATTTAAGAGAAGTTTTTGTGTAAATATAGAGAATCTCATTGTAAGAGAGATTTTAAAACAAATATGAGCATGAATGCTGCAAATTTCCTTTTTAACTGTGTATATTGTCTTAAAATTTACTTTATTGAGGAATAAATTCAAATGATATCATCTAAGAAAGTTCTTATTGTAAAAATAAAGTTGATATTAATGAATTTTAGTTATGTGATGTTTGATTATAAAATTATGTATTTTTTTCATTCATTATTTTTTTTGTTAGCCGCTTCATGTGCTGAGGTTTATGAACTTAATTCAAAAAACTTTGAAAAGTTCATAGATGAATACCCATATGCTATAATAAACTTTTAAAAAGGGTATGATTGTGATAAATGTAATGAAGTAGATTAAATGCTAGGAAAAATAGCATAAAATTTTAAAGAGAAATTGTTAGGATTTGGGAGAATAAATTGCAAATAATATCCTATTTTTATAAAAAGATTTGGAATAAATAAATACCCAGCACTTATTTTTTTTAGATAAGGAGACATTGAGGTCTATGAAGGTTAAAAATCATACACAACACTTTTTGAATGGCTGAAAGAAAATTTGAGACCACTAGTTCATATCATAGAAGATGCTTAAAATTTAAAAGATTTTCTTGATGAAAAAGTTGCATTAGTTTATTTTGCTTCAGAAAATGAGTTTATCGATCCATTTATTTTAATGAAAATGAAAGAAGTAAATATGAAGTATTCTTTGTTTTATATGGTGCTCGCTAAATCGCCAGATATCCGAAAATATTTTGGTATTGAGAATGAAACAAATTTGATGATATTTCCCTAAAATGGAGAACCAAAAAAATATAAAGGATATATTTAAGAGTATGAATATGTGTTATCAAAAGCATGGAAAATTATTTACTTTAGGAAGCATTGCCATTAATTTATACAGGAAGTGATTTAGAAATTTAAGTTACATTAAAAAATTAGACTCCATTTCTTCTAATTTTTGATGAAATGAATCAAGATTATTATGAAATAGCTGAAAGAAATTAATATTTTGTGAAAATTTTTATTTTTGATAAATAAGATTATGAAGCAATTTAAATATTTTCTGGGCTACTTCAAATGCAAATTGATGTTAATTTTATATATTTTCATGAAACGAAGTATAAATTAGATTTATAAATAGAAATAAAAAAACATAAAAAATAACTAAAAACAATTTATAATATATCATTTGGGATTATATTGATAGAGAAGAAGGAGTAAGGTTTGATATATGATATAAATGAGTTTTGAGAATTTGGAATTAGTAATTCAAATCTTATTAAAGATTTTAATAGTAGCATTGTTATTATATAAGTTGTTTTTCTTCTCAAAACTAATTCTATAAAATTAGTGCAAAATTATATATTTATCAAACTCTATTATGTTAATCTAAAAATTAATAAAATGTTTTAAAAAATTTTAAACTTTATTTCCCCTTAAAGTTTAAATGATTTAGCTTAAGTCTAAGCCGAAAGCGAAATTACAAAAAGATAAAAAAAGTTAGAGCAAATGATTCAAATAATTAATATGAACGAATATTTTTAATATCCAGAAAAATTAATAGAGGATGGAAAAATCTTGATGAATGAATTTAGTAATGATAACATCGATATTTATATCTAAGGTAAATTTTAAATTCAATATTTGAGATGAATCAATATTAAAAATCTCTGGGTTTGTTAATATTTTAATAAAGTAGAAATCTTTTTAAATTGTTATGGATTTTTCTTTTTTTTTAAACTATCCTTAGTAAGTTTTCAGCATTTGCATTGAAAATAAAAGTCTTGAAGGTAGTTATAATTAATTTTATTTATAGATAAAGATATCAAGTTGTCATCTTATTATCAATCATCTTTAGGAGGAAAGTGGATATCTTTGAATCATTATCTGACAGAATCTAAGCTTTGGCTAAATCATTAAAATTTTCAAAGAGTATTTTCAGAAGCAAAACAGTTATTAGTAAATCACTTTCCATATCATAAATAAAAAAAATAACAATAATATTTCTCACACGATTAATTGGAATAAAAGCAACAAAACTCAATACCTAGCAATAAATAAATAGAAAATAATGTTGAGATAGAGAAAAAAGAAAAAGAAATAGTTAATAAAAATATCATTATTTCTCCAATTCCTTTAAATGCTTAAGATATCCTTGGCCCTAGCGGGTTACAATTGAAAGAAGAAAATTAAATTTAGATGCAGGCTACAAAATTTGCTATTTAGGTAATGAGAGAACATAGAAATGATATTGTTACTTTAAAGCAATAGCATTAAGATTTAAAATTATACAAATAACAATAAGATGGAATATTAATTTAGTTAATATGGCTTAGATAGAAATTGGACTTAGATATTGAATTTGCAGCAGGCTAATACAATCTATTGTAATAATAAATAAATCTTAATGATAAAATTTAACAAAAAAATAGTGAGGAAATAATTGAATTTGATGACTTATCTTATTAAATAATTGATTTAGCTGCTAAGGATAAAGCTCTTACAGATTGCTATTAATTCATTTCGAAAAAATTTAATAAACAAATTATTGACTATTAAAAATTATTCTAAGTAAATATTTATTTTTTACTTTTAGGCGACAAAAGAAATAGCAGGCTAGTAGTTTGAATTAAAATTATTGATGAATAAAATATATTTTAATTAATAATAATGAAGGATTAGTTAAAATAATTGGGATTTCTGCAATCTAAATAATTTATGTTGATAAATTACCTAGAGATTATTATAACATTTAGCCTCTAAAAAGATGTTCTTTTTAAGTTTATACTAAAGTTTTCTTAATTGATCCCAATGATGAATTTTTGCCATTTCATATATTACTATCGTAAGCCCAAACTGTTCAAATCAATAAATTGCTGCAGAAGAAAAGTATCTTTAAGAATAAGAGAAGGTTCAATTGATGACTTAAAAATGGTAGCATGTAACAGTTTTCGGCAAATTTAGAATAAAAGTTAGAAGCCATTTAGAACCAGCAGTACTAATATACAAATATAAACCAGGAGAAAACAAAATTAGCTAAATTCATTTTATTTAAGTCATTAAAAATACACCTTTGGTAGGCGAGCTACTTATTGATATTATAATCTGCAATTATTAACAATATACATTAATTACATAATACAATAGAAGTGTATAAAATATTATAATTAAAAAATTGAATCATAATAGATTGGATAGGCCACTAAGACATAAAATTAAATATAGTTTATCCAGTTTAAAAATTTAAACCGTATGTTGCTTTTCTAAAAAAGTAAAATGATTCAAAAACATTCGATACAGTAAGAGTTTTGATAAATGTTAGTATAAATAATATGAAGTTGTTGTTGATGTAATGATTGGATAGTCAAATATTACAAGATTAGAGCTTCACTATTTTAATTTATCGAAAAAAAATTTACTATTGTATCTATTAATTAAATTGACTGAAGAATCAAATTAAAATCAAACAACAATAAATTTTTTTATGATTTTCGATAGATTAGTAAATTTATTTCCATTATTATCCAATGTTTTTAGAAATGGAGTAGAAAAAGATTAAATTTAATGTCATAAGGTTTAGCAAAGGAAATGCTTGCATCCAGAAGAACATTTATTAGTAAAATTAGTAACGTTCTTTAGAATTTTAATTAAATTTTCTAAAATTAAGGAATTCTTCTTATTAATTATTATATATTTAATTTTATTTATAAATCATCTATGTTGTAAATTATTTTATCAGCCAACTTATTCTTGAATGTCATTTAAAATTTAAAGTACCCTTTCACTTTTTAATTTAATTCCATCAATCTATTATATTATCTATCTTTACTCTTTATTATAAATTAGAAATTTTTTTATCTTCAATCATTTGTTAGTCCTCTAGTTCTTCTTAAAGTTCTAGAGATTAGCCAATTGGGAACCATGAATTGTCTTAATTTTTTCTTTTATTTGCAATATATGTTTCTATTCCGTTATATTCACTTTTATTTTTATTGTCCATATAGGCCATATAAAAGACATAATTCCACATATAGTGGTTTTATTTGGTATGTTTATTAAAACCATCATCAGATTTCATATCAAATATTTCTCTATCAAGTCCACATATGAAACAAATATTCTCTTTGTCGTCTTCTTTAGTTAATTATTGTTCTCTCAATTCGCCAAAGGTATCAATAATAATACCTGAAAATATCTAAATGCTGATCATTTGAATAAGAATATTATTCAATTAGTCAAAAAAAAATCTTCCATAACTATAATCTGCAGGATCCTAAGGAAAATTACCATCAAACCAACCACCAATTCCACCATTATTTTTAAATGCATAATCAAACGTCGAAAGAAAACAAACTAATAAAGAATCACATTTTCCTAAATATATATGATGAATAAGATACCATTTGTATAAATATCATAAAATAATAAATATGCCATTAAGGTAAAGTAATAATTCATTAATAGAACTAAAATAAATGTCAAACCTAATGCTACTTTTGGTTCCCAAAATGATTTAATAATATTTCTTAGAGTAGGATATCTTAAAACTACTTCACTTAAATGAAAAGCAAAAAAGAAAGGATGAACTAATGTAGCAATAAAAGCTAAAACTCCATAAGCCAAATAATAAATCATATCAATATTTAATAGCACTTTAACTAAACAAAAGCCAACCATATATAACTTTAAAAAGAATTTAATAATCCAAATTTAATCTTCCTTAATTAAGTCTTTGCTTTGATTCCATGCTTCCTTTACATATAATGGTCCCTTTTTTAAAATAAAAAAAGAGACAACAAAGCATGAACAAACAATCATACCAATTCCACAATATCTAAAAATGGACATTGTTTCCTCAACAGAAAGCATTTTTAAAAATTTTGGAGAATTTAATCTATCAAAGAATCTTTAGTCTGGATCATCTGAATCCCCCTCATAGTAGGATAGAACAATAAAAACATTTAAAACTAAAGTCAACAAAAAACACAAATCTTTCCATAAGATAACATACTTTGCAAATAATGCAACAAATTTATTTTAGTTAAAAAATTGTGTAAGTTCTTCTTCATGTTTAGCTACATCCATAAAGTTTGGCATATTTTCTACTAAAGCGCTTACTTTAGAATTAGTAGAATCTCTATCTACTGTTTCATGAAATTCAGTTTTTGTTTCTTGAGGTAAATAATTACAAAAAGATAATTTATAGAAAATAATTTTTTCTATCTATTAATCTCTGATCACTTCAACAGTAGCAGAATTCTTTTAAAAAAACATTATGCTATCATTAAATAATTGTTATGCTGCTAATTTTTTAGCTGCCTTTCGTTTTTCATCTTCTTCTGCACTTTCTTTTCCTTTAAACTATTTCATTAATTATTGTTGAGCATATTCTCTCCATTCATTTATCATTTCTAATATTCCACCAACCAATGAAAATACTAAACTTGCCAATTGTCCAATAAGTGAATTTTATAACTAAGCCCATGGATCTTCCTAATCAGAGTTTTTTTAACTTTCTTTAATTTCTTCAAGTTCATCTCTGGTGGCTGGATCGATTTCTTTTGTATCTAAATTTGCGTAGTGATTGATTAAAAAATAAATTAAAAATCCAGTTTCTAAAATTAGTTCATGATATTCTGGAGGCTTAGTTGAAATATGAGGATTCTCTTCAAGCTAAAAATTTAATTTAATTTAATTACATGTCCCAAAGATTCTTTATTATAACCCAATTTTTTGTACATTTTTTAATGCTTTTTATAAATAATAATTAAATTCTTTTTAAGTACATTAATTGGTAAGGATCTTAAAATGCGTTTTATAGCATTTGTATCTGAGTTCAATTCTAATAATGAACTCACTAATACCATGCATTTATATTTTAATCTTTCCAACATCCACCTATCTATTTATATTGTTTTCACTTTGCCGCCTGCCTTTGCTGTACTTTTAGACTAAAGTGAATTTGATCTTTCTCTCATAGAATGTTCTTCTTTATCTTATCCTCCATCTGAATCTTTTTTTTTCTTTGACTCTATGTGCATATTTAAATAATTTGATGCAACATCTAAAAATAAGGAATCAATAATATCTTATTGATTTTAGGAACAAGGACCTTAAACAAGCTCAGTTAAGGTTTCTAATGTGTTCATAATCACTTCAAAAGAATCTCTTTGTAAATCATTCTCAAATGCACATAATAATTCAACCATAGCTTAAACAATATTATAATTGTTTCTACTATTATATTATTACCTAAGATAATTTTAAATCTATAAATTATGACCTTCGCAAATCAATTAAAAGTACTTAAGCAAATAAATTAATATACTCATTTTGCTCCTTCTTGCTTCTTATGCTTCTTTTGATGTAGATTCATCCTCATTTTATTATTCTTAAATACTTGATAAATAGAGTTATTTTTAATGTTAATCCTTATCTTTTTAACTTTTTTACTACATTAAAAGTTATTAGGTTTTCTTATTTTCATTAATTACTTCATAAATTATTTGGTTCATCTTTAGAAATATCATCTCGGATTTTTCAAAATTGCTAAAATAATTAAATACTGTTGTTTGTATTCGTTAATTTCCATTTTTGCTTAATTTTAAAGCAAATTTAAATAATTATATTAACAAATCATCGTCAAAAGGATAAACCTAAAAATCAGCTAATAAATTCAAGAACATTCTAGTTGCTTAACAGGAATCAAATTCATTTTGAATTTTTTCTAAATCATCCTTAGAATCTAAAATGTCTTCTAAAAGCTATAAAGTATATATTAAATTTGATTTATTTGCTTTATTAATTATTCCTACTTCGATAAATCTAATTAATTTTTTTAAGAAGTCCTTAAAACAAAAATTTTACAAACTTAGTTCTTTTATCATAGCATCTGGAACAAATTTATGTACCTCTTAAAATGTTTAACTTAAAATTCTCATTTCGATTGATTAAGTTTTTTTTGTTGATTAAAGTTGTTAGCATTCTTCTAAAAATTTTTCCCAAGCCTTTTTTGTATTCCAATCCACAGTTTCTTAATTTAGTTAATCAATATCAGTTTTATTATTCGTTCTTTTTAACTTTTCATCTTTCTCATTTTGAATTAATGGAGAATCCTTTTTTTTTTATGTAAAAATTGTTTAGTTATCTTCTTCTGCTTATGGTTTTGTAAATTCTTATTATTATAATGACTATGATATCTACCCTGCATTATCTGTTAGAGTTTATTCATCAAGAGAATGTACAAATTCAACCAAATTATTATATTAATTAACTCTTAACTTATGCGAAATCATTGTATTACACATTCCAAGAATGATGTTCATTACATCTTTCAATTCCATATAATCACTTCTTTCTCGATATTCAGAAGCTGAATCCTTTGTAATGACTTTTTTTGAATAATATTTCATTAGAACTATTACATAATCAAAAAAATATTGTAAATATGAGTCAAAATTTCCTTGTAAAGATTAAATTTTAACTAATCTACTTTTTTCTTATGCAAAAAACTCAGTAAAGGTATGTTATTCTTTAATAAACAAATATAAATCTGTAACCTTGTTATTTACATAGAGTAAATTTGCCATTTCTATAATTTATGGTTTAATATGTTTTATTCCATCAACCATACAAAGATTAACCTCAACCAATCCTTCCAAAATATTTGCTTCCTCTGATAAAAAATCATCTGGTTATAATAATAATTCAAGTAAATAATGCAATTTAAATAATTTCTTTAACTTTGGGGAATTTATTTTAAAGCTCTCTTCACCAACAATTGTTGCTAATAAAACTTATAATATTCCACTGTGATATAAATAAGGTTGATCACATAATTTAGCCTCTTATGATCTTTCAAACGTGAATTCAAGGACTTTCCTACCTTCAATTGCTTTAAATTCGCCATAAAGATAAAATTCATTAATATCTGTATAATCTTCTGTACTTATGTGTTGAGGAATAAACAATTGCAGCACTTTTGTTTATACTTCTATTATTGGGTTATTCTTATAAGTTTATATATTTTTATATAAATGGAGAAATCTTGCTTATCTTCCATATGAATATATAAATGATTTTATTTTTTTTAATAAAGTTTCATCTATTTTTTAACAGAGTTATTTATTATCTCTATAAATTGCACTTAGAAGATTCATTTATCCATAATCATGTTATAATTCATCCATAAAGAGACTTGCATTTTTATGCATTATTTTTTAATTTTCATCATTTTTATCACAAAAATCTGTTAGCAATGCAAATAATGCTTTTAAAAGTTATATCACATAACTCTTTGTTTCTATTGAGTAAAATGGATCATCTAAGACTTTTACTAATTACTATTGAGTATCTCTTATAAAATTTAGTAAAGGTTCATAAGCATTCAAGAAATTAAAGATTTTTTATCTAGAAAGAGAGATTTAATCTGTTCCATTTATTACTCTACTTTTATGATCTATAGATGTTCCTTATTTTAATAACAATTATAAATCTCCCAAAATTTTTAGGATCTTTTAAATTTCCTTAACTTCACCTTATGGAGATGCTAAAAAATCAACTAACCATACTTCAGAACATTCTGTAATCACTTTCAATTCTTAGATTGAAACCTCTAAAAATTAATAACAACCAATCTCAACTTTATCGAATAATAATTCAATTCTATTTAAATGATACATCATTTCAGAAACTTAAGAGAAAGATCTTCTCATTAATTCAATAAGTTCATTTTATAATCCAAAATCATTTGTGACAAAAAATGTTACAATTAAGGAAGGTAACAATTATAACTCAGCCTAAGTCTCCCCAGATGTCAATTTATCTAAATCCATCGTTTCTGTTAATTAAGAGTTTTAAATCTAAAATTTTTTCGATTATGCTAATAAATTTCCAACACCAATTAATTCATTCATATCATTTGATTTATAAATAGCCTCTATGTTAGTCTAAGCTTATTTATCTATAGCTTCTATTCCGGTTTTTAAAAATGGCGGCAAAGCCTACACTAATTCTGATTCTAAATCTTTTAAAAATTTATCTTTTAATAAAGTATTATTCCAACTAAACTATTAAAATTTATTTGTAAAATTCTTATAAAATTAAATAAAGTTTGAGACATAAAAATCTTATCTTTAATCTTAAAAGTATAAAAGAATTCCACAAACTTCTTTTTATATTTCAATTTCAAAATTTGATTATATAGACTGTTGATTCTGATTTTTAGAAGAATTAGTCTCTTATACTCCAAGAGTGTCCATATAAGAAATAATAGATATAAGACTAGAAACTATTGGATTTCTTGCAATGACTGTTGTATCGTAATCAGAAAATTCATCTTCTAATGATCTTTATTGTTTTGGTGGAATTCCTAAAATAGATGATGCTAAATCTTTCGCAATTTTCATAAATTAAGATTGTGCTGTTACGTTACCAATAACATTTAAATTTATTCTTTCTTTTGCTTTTTCTATTTTTGATTCTCTGACTGATTTTAGTATATAAGAATAAAGCAGATTATTTTTATCATATTCTAAAAGTGTTATTAGTTTAGGTACAATTTTTATATACAATTCATCTCTTTTCATTATTTTCAACATATCAAATCTGATCATAATTGATATAAGTTTAGTAATATCTAATACTAATGGATTAATATAAGCATCTTCTTCATTTTGATTGGGTTTTTATTTTGTCCCCTTTTTGTTTTATTCTTAATCTTCATTTTAATTATTTTTATATTTAGGATCCTTTTTATATTCCAAATCTTCATTTAATTTCTTATAAAGAATTTCTAAAAATTCAAAAGTCTTTTAAACCAAAGGTATATATATATCCACCAGTTTTTCAAGTTTACTTAAAGATTAGACACTTTTTGAAATTGGTTTAGTTTCTGTATATAACCTACATAAATTTGGTACAATTGCTTTATTGAAGGGTTCATGATCGACATAAACTATACATTTTAGTATATATTACTTGTAATAGCCATATTACAGAATGCAGATCTATATTCTATTGACATAGAATCATCGAAAACTTAATCAAAAATAAATTAGGTAGGAAAAATACGTTCCAAATAAGATTTCCACAAAAAGTTTCTCTAATACGCAAGATCTGCATATAAAAATAATTACTCTATTAAATAATTTTTGATCAATGAACTAGAATAATAGAATTAATTACTCCTTAATACTGGTTAAGTAAGCAATTTAAGTATGATCAACATAAATTTTCATCTTTGTGGATTCACTCATAATATATGATAAATTTACATTATAATCGGCATAAATAGTGAACTTTTAAAATTTTCATTTTATTTGATAAATTTGAAGATCATTTCTTAATTTACAGATATACTTTAATCATTAAGTCGACATATACATCTAAAAAATTATAAATATTATATATTTCTTTGTCCTTGACTATCTTCTGTCAAATTTTTATAATATAATAAAATATTTTTCTTTTCATCAGCAGATGAATTGAACTAAATATCCATTTCATCTGATAATTATGATTCATCACTATCTATCTGCTATCTAGCTTTTAATTTCTCATTTAATTTAATATGATCACATAAATTTATTAAAATTTATTCGTTGCCACTAAGAACAGTAATTATACAATCTGTAGCCTCTTTAAAATATTTGATTTAATATAGAAAGTTTGGGAACAATTTGTATATGTAAAATTAATTTTCTGGATTATCTTAACAAATGCTTCTGAGTAATCGATAGATCACTTTTAAAACACTCATTTTTTCAGATAAAAAAGCCATTTGCATTTTTTTTTTTCTAGCTTAAGTTCTTTATTAAGATTATATTGTATGCGAGGAAACTAATTAACTAGCTGCTGATCTACCTATAGCAATTTAATCTAAAAATAGAAAAAAATTTAAAAGTACTTAAAGAATTAATTTATGAATCTTTAGTAGGTCTTATAGGGCTTTAATCAGAACCAATGTGAGATCTTTATGAAACAACAATAGTATTTCTCATTTATTTTTCTAAAGCAGCTTTATGTTAGGCTAATTAATATTCACTATATTATCTTAATTCATCCTCATTAGTAATATACTTCATAATTTCAATTAAAAGATCAATAAAATATTATTCTCTCAATATTTTCTATCTCTATAATATTGCTACTTTGGTGTTTTTGATATCAAGTTAAGTATTAATTAGAGAATTTATGCAAAAAAGTTCTAATTTTTCAATAGTTGTTGTCAATTTTTTATAAGTTTTGATCATTTATTATTTCTATGCTTCCTTAGTCATATCTTTATTAGCTTTAAGTTTAGTTAAACCTCTTCTTAATACTGGGAAACCTGTTATTAAAAAATTAGTTTCTAAGACATCACTATAATTTGCTTTGTATAATTTTAGTACATCATCATCTTCTGTATTATCAGTTAATCTAATAACGAGCACTGATTTATCTTCTTCAACAACTGTGTCCTTATATTTACTATTTGCTTGTAGCTTAAATATATTAAATAAATTACAATTTTTTTTTATTCAATATGTACCCATTATGTAGACTTTCCAACTGCTTTAATCTTCATGAATGCATCTTTTGTAACATATTTTTAGCTTATTGCATTTGATCCCATTGTAGGTACAGCTACAAATTAGAAAAGAGTATTAGGAGTAGGTTAATCAGACAAGTATAATAATAATTAACCTGATTTAATAGGTTCATAATTTATAGCTAAATATTTTCCAAGAATAAAATGTCTCAATCTTATATTTTATCCCCATTCTACTAATCCTCCTATATTAAGATCTTCATTTTCAATTTAAAACATTCCATTAGAATCTCCGTTAAATTCACCCTGTTGTTCATTTGATTACTTTTAAAAAGTAATAATTAATTCGCTATCTTAATTCCTTCCCAAAGTGAGAAGAGAATTTTCTTCAATGTGATGAATCCATATAACATCATTACAACTGATAATTTATTCATTATCATTTTAGTTACAAAATACAGTTAAAACCCAGGCACTCTAATGTTCTAAGGATATATTGACTTCGCTTGTTTATCCAATAGGCTTTACTTCTTCTTCTTATTTTACTAATTATTATCTATAATATAAAATACAAGTAGTTTATCTTCGAATACTTTGTCCTTTTGCTAAGCTTGCTACTTTCTAAAATTTTTAAATTGTTGGTGTGATCTCTAAAGTATCTTATTATTGTGCTAATTAATCTGTCATTTTTTTAAGTAATTTTAGATTAGGAACAGCATAGATGGATCTATCTTATAAATATTCATATGTATCCATAACACCATATTTAAGAGTAGCTCTTAATTTTGGTTTAATTCCTAAATAAATATGATCACACATAATATAAACACTATCACCTGCATAAACTTCTGAATTTGATTCTTTTTAATGAACAAAAGCAGGTTATAATTAAAATATTGTTTTTGATGATGGATATTCTACTAATTCTAACCTAAAGTTTTCTTTTTCTTCTTTAGCTTCTTTACTAGATAGAGATAAAAATCGATTAGTTGCAACATGCATAAACTAAATTAAATTATTAAAAGATAAAGGCTTATCTTTGTATTTAGCAGAAACATCTATATTAGATTTATAATCAGCTATAATCTATGATTAATTTATGATCAGTACTTTTGTTTACAGATCTTTGAGTTTCTACATTTATTTTGAACTATCATCTTGCATGGTTTCTTCTTTGAAATTAACAGCCATTTGTAATTTAGATGTAATAAAATCAGGATAAATTCTAAACAAACTATAGTAGTAGAGTGAACCTGAGGCCATTATATCTGGTGATATTTCAACCAGCTAATTTGATATTTTTTACTATTACCTTTGCATCAGTTTTAACTAATCCATCACTATAGACAAATAAGGATTAATTGGCTAGAGGACTTATAGAGATCATTTAACCAAATTTTAAAGACTCACCTTTAATTGACATTTTAATTTATAAAAAAAATACTAGGTATTATAGTTTAACAAATTAATCTCTAATCAAAACAGCTAAACAAATGAGTTCTTTTTTTATCTCATTTCAGAAAAAAAATTTATTTAAATTTATAATTCCCTACTTATCGTTATAATAAGAATGCAAAACTTTAATAGTATGATGGATTTTTTAAAAGGACAGGTATTAGATAGAGAAGAAGAATGGAAAAAGGAAAGGTAAGAATATTAAGTAATTATTAACTTTAATAAGGAAAGTCATTAATAACGGAATTAAGAGAATAATTAGAGGATTAAAAAAACATAAATAAACAATTAACAGTACGTCTTGAAAGGTTAGAATCAATTAAATATTCCTTTTTACCGAATTCTGAAATAATTAAGTAAATTACTGAGATCATTTAGGAAATAATCGAATAAAAAACTTCATCATCGAGTTAAGAGTGATATTGGAACATTTTTTAAGAATGATATTCATGATTAAAAATTAATTACCCAACCTAATAATGAGAAAATACTATCAAAAGAAAAGAAACCATTATTATTAAAGTAAATTAAGAATAGTTTAAATATAGTTTTTTAAAAGAACTCAAAAATGAAGAAAATGATGAAGATGAAGTGTTAAATTAAATTAGCTATCATTCTCCTATAAATTTACAACTATCTTAAACTACAAAAATCAATTAAATATTAATTAATTAAAACACATATAATACATGTTAATAAATATCTAAACATCATCATCAAAGAAGCAATAGCAATGGAGCAAATGAATTATTAAATTTTGCAATTTCAAGAAAAAAATTAAATTTAGAAACAAGTTAGAATCAATTAGAAAGTATAAGTTTAACAGAAAGAGAGATTGTAGTTGGAAAGGAAATATTTTAAACAAAAGGATAATTAAGAAGTCATTTAGATGGTGTTAGATCTATTTTATTTTAAAATAATTTTATAGCAACTGCCTCAGAAGATTGTACAATAAAATTATGGAATCTAAATTAAATTCATTCTATGAATTCATAAACACATTTAGAGCCTGTTTAAACTATAAGATGTAAATCTATTACATTATATATATAGAACATAACAGGCCAATTTTTACAATGACTGCTTATTCTAAAACTCCTTAAATACATCTGTATTCAGCAGGAATAGATGGAACTATTAGAACTTATATAGGATCAGGTGATTAACATTTTTCTTGGCATGCTCACACTGATGTAATTTGGTCTTTAAAACATCATCCACATGATTTAAGAATATTATCATCATCAGCAGATGGTTCAGTTAAAATGTGGAAATCTTTAGGAGTATGTTATTAAAATGATTTAATCAAAAAAGGTAATTTAAATCTTGAAATGTTATAAAATCCACTTGCTAATTTTACTTTTAAGAAATCAATGACTGGATTATCAATTCCAACAGCAATAGAATGGATATGCAAAGGTTTTAATGAAACTATAATTTGTGGTTATAGTGATACTTTGACGTTTATTGTTTATGATGTTACAAGTGTTAAGGCAATTTCATAAATCAGATTTGATTATGATAACTAATTTAATCTCTTTGCTTAGCCGAATAAAATATTATTTAATAATGAACTTAAATATATTGTATCCGGTCATGATGATAATAAAATAAGATTTATTGATATCAACACCAGCAAAGTTTGTAAGACTCTTATTGGACATACTGATTCTGTAACTGATTTATGTTTACTTTCCAAAAATATCTATCAATTAGCAAGTGTAAGTCATGATGGAAGTTTGAGAACATGGGATATCAGAAAATTTCAATGTCTACATGAAATACCAGTAAATTATTTAATATATCTACTTAGGCACATAAATAAAAATACGATGAAGGTATTTATACAATAACAAGTAATAATTAATTTGTAGCAACTGGAGGAGCAGATGGTATAGTTAAAATTTTTAATTATTCTGATGTCGTTTCATGATAAACACTTACAAAATGATTTTTCATCATTTTCTGTAATGATTATTGTTTCTATAACAATTTTTTATTATTATATGTATAAAATATTGTAAGCTTTTTTATTAAGAATCTTAGATTCATTAAGTTCAATCTAAATAAAACTTCTTTTTTATCTATGTTTGATAAATAAGAGAGGATCATCTCTAAAAATAGATTATGTTTAATCGTTTCTTTATTTATTTATTTATTTATTTTAAATTAATCAAAATCATTATGTTTCATATAATAAAAGCCTATATGGTCTAACATCTTCTGAATTATTAACTACAAAATAATTGACATCCACCATTCTATCGCTTTATCTAATTTTCCTTGGATTGACTCTTGTCATAAAGATTGCTTAAAAGTGTTTGCGATCAATCTCAATATGTGAAGTATAATTAAGACAAACTTCAAACCTATCTGAGAAATAAATTCCATTTCCAACCTATACCGCAGAACCATATTCATCATAACACAAATCTGAAGCATATAGATTTCTTTATCCAGGTTGTAAATTATTTCTCACTATTGAATTTACATACTCATTAAGAGTACCATGGTACAGAATTCTCCATTCATTAGGGTTACCATCCATTTTTAACCAATCTTCGCTATTTTCATATTTTGTTACATTTAACCCAAATCCATAACAACCTATTGGAAAATAATAATCATATTTATGATCAGGAGGTCCTCTCTCTTCTTTTTCATGAAAACCCTCCCAACTCATATTATAAATAGGATTAAAATCATCAGAGGAAATGGTAACATCTGTTTATGCTTAATCAAAATATTTTACAAATTCAATATTACCATTACAATAATTGTCTAAAAATTCTTTTATTAATGGATTAACTTTAATCATTTTTTTGATGTAATCCAAATTTTTCCCTTATAATTTAAAATCAATTTCAAAACTTCCCTTTTACACTCCTAAAATTTCAATTTTATCAATTGGAATCTAAAATAATTTTGATATATCTTCTTTAAATTTTAATAGGTGTTGTTATAATAATTTATTGTCATTCACAATTTTATCATAATCGAGATTTTTGTTTCTAATTTTAAGACAAGTTTAATCTGAGCCATGTGCTCCTATAATTGAATTTAATCCAAATGAATATTCTTTACTTGAATATAATAATTCTCTATTTTAATCTCGTAATAATTATTCTTTTAAAACATATAACAGCACATCTGGATTTGAAACTTCAATATTCTATTTTACATGAGGAATTTATTTAACTTCACCTAAAGCCTTTAATTCTCTTAATAGTTATTTTTAATATTAATGCTTATAGTATTATTTCTTATTATTTGTAAGTTTATTTGTATTTCTAATTTCTTAGTTTAAAGTCAATATTTATTCTTTAATAGGTTATTTGAGAATTTATTATGATATCGATATGTATTTTTCAATATGTGATATCGATATTTATTTTTCAATATCTGATAGTTGATATTTTTACTATTCAGAGTTCTATTTTTCCTTTATCGAAGATAACAATTAATTCATTTTATAAATATTAATAATATATGTTTAATAGATATATTATAGTCTTATATGGTTAATAGATATATTATATTCTAAAGTTTTAAATTATGTATTATTAAATAATAAAAATGATGAGGTTGGAAATTATTTGATCTAATAGTACTATCTATAGGTTTAAAATGGTTTTGTAGTGTCGTGTTTTTTCCAAATAATTTACTATTACTTTAAATCTTAATACATATAATATAAAATTGAAACAACCTCAATTTTAAAACTAGAGGAATACCATTCAAAAATATCCAATTCTTTGATTTAATTTCCATAAGATGATAATTCAGTGTAGTGATAAAATATATTAAATGTTATATTGGAATTAAAATTAGCTAAATTCTTTATTAGTTTAGGAGCTTTATATTTTTATTTTAACAGTTTTATTATATTAATTTGTTATTGATCATCAAAATAAATTTAAACGAAAAAAAAATGATCTTAATTTCATCAAAATTGTTGATGGTTTATTTCTAAAAGCAAATGAATAATAGATTTTTATTCCTTTGAAATATTGATTGAAATTTAAGTCTTAAAGGATTAGAGTTGCTAATGATATCTTTATTAATCTAGATTATTATTTTCTTATGAATACTAAAATGCCTCTAGGTTGTGAATTAGCATTTTAATTAATATATATTAAATTCACATTAATAGCAATTGGAGGAAAAATCGGTTTTAACAAAAAAAAGAGAGAAGTCTTGGTTTTTATCAAAATCTCTATTAAATATTGAAGTTGATTTAAGAATTTTAGCTTTAGCTATTTATATGATTCCTTTAATGGAGAATAAAATATTTTGTATTTTTATTTTATTAATAAGAGAAACAATATAGATATTAATAAAAATCATTCAAAAAATGCTTGAATGAAATATTATAGAGCTTGTTACACTTTTTTCTTAATCTTCAGAATAATTATCTTATGAAGGAATGTACTACTAAGTATCACAGTACTTAGCATATATTTCTTCATCCATAGATTTATAATTAGATTTAAACAAATAGTTAATCTACTATGAGAACTATTTCTATCATAATTTAAAAAGATTTATACTTTGATTTATTTTTTGGTAAATTTAAATTCAGTATGTTATTAAAAATATGAGTGTATCATGTTTAAATCTCCTAAAAAATTATGATATAATTTTTGAAATAATTCTAAACTTTCTTAATTCCATTTTGATCTTTTTATATTAGATTTTTATTTATGAATTTTACTACTTTCCTACATTATTTGTTTAACTAATGACTTAATTAATTAGCTTTTATTTTGTAAATTGCTTTCCTAATCAATATTCTCACTTTAATTATTTTTCATCAAAATCAATAATACAAAATTGCTAATTCAATTCTTAATCATCAATAAAATAAAGAAAGAATTAATTATTATAAAATAAAATTAAGAAAGACTTTAATCATTATAAAATAAAGTATAAAATTTAGAGATAAATATTAAGATATCTTTCATTTGTTAAGCTCTGGAATACAAATGAAGGTTTTGTTAAGTAAGATTTTATAAGATATTTTAATTATATAAACACAATCATATTCCAATGAATAAAATGATCATTAGAATTTATTCTATATGTAAATTACTAGATATTCTACTTTTAGCTAAAAGTAATAGTTATTCACAAATAAAGTTGATCTCCTATTAAGATTGTGGTACCATATGTTTTTCTAAGACTTTTGAAATATCAATAGTATCAATTAATTCGAATAATTGACTATTACCAACTATAATATATCCCTATTAATTTAGTTGTTATTCTGTAGTATCTGGCTGACAGGTAATACCTATATGATGCCAGTTATTATATCCTATACATCTAGTCAATTGAATTCCTTAAGTTTTATTTTATTTAAGCCATATCTTTAAAGGGCCTGATTTTACATAGTTGATGTATTCTTATTCAATTTCTCCACCATGACTTAGTATTCTTTATTGTTCAGACATTTTTTCGATTGAATGAACAGTATTTAGTTATTTAAATACGAAATTATTTTTTTATATAAAGAAATACATAACTTTGCTTTCTCCTAAGTTTGAACAAATTAATTTCATATCAGATATCATTATACAAAGTGCCTAAGATCCACTCTAAGATGAGTCTATTTCTTAAGATTATTTCTAATTATATAATAAGTAAAATTACTAAACTTTTATGAATATCTGAAAAGAGTTCTTCAAAAAAAAGATTTATTTAAACATTTTTTTACAAAACTACATCAATAAGATTATTATTATTAAGTTTTTCAATTATCTTATGATTAACAAATTAAGAACATTCCTTTCCAAACCTACCATGACCTTCACATAAAACGAATAAATTGATATTATCTTTTTAAATTACTTATGTGGAACAATGAACACTATGATGAGTATTTTATTTTTATAAATGAATTTCTTTAAAGACAGAAAATTTAAGAGATACTTTTTCGGTTTATTTATTTAAAGGAGGCTTTTTAAATTCTGAATGAAATCTCGTAGTTCTAAATCCATGTGTATTATCAAATGGTTTGTTATTTATTTTAGGACTTAATATAGGATTGAGAGGTCTCCTTAGATTATCAGCAAATCTTGGAGATCCAATTTATTATGTTGGAGATAAACTTGTAAATGAATTTTTCTGACTTGATTAATAATTACCTTTAACTTATAAAACTAATGGTTTTATTTTAAAGCCTTTTCCCTAAGTTGTATTACGATTCATTAAAATATATTTACAAAATATTCAATATGATTAATCACAATTAAATTCATTAGAATCACCATACTTTTAACCATTAATTTTCTATAATATTAACAATTCTTAATGATGGATTCACAACAACATACATTACATTTTATGGATGATCTGAATTGTATGAATTCTCCAATTTCTTTATATCATATGCATAAGAATCTATATAAATTTCATCCTTATCTGCATATTTTCGAGCACTATTATTAATATTATATAATACTTTACAGTATTTTTATATAAATACTTTGTCCAATCTAAATATGCTTAAATTTGATCTTCATATTAACAAAGTTATCCTCCAAGAACTAAAATTTAAAATAATCTTAATAATAATTCTTATCTATCTGCTTCATTAAATACACAATATTATTCACAATCTTCCATTACTAATGCTTTTCGTAATTCATCTGCTATTTAAATATTTTCAAATTATTCTTCAAAACATTATTTGATATGCCCTTTTACAACAATTCTATCTTCTGTTAATTTATCAAATAAATCCAATTTAATTGATTTACAAGTTAAAGGTTAAAATTTAATTTGTGAAAGCAATACATTTTATTTAAATGATACATAATGTAATGATCCTCTTACATCCTTTGAATTGAATAAATCTAACAAAAATTGATTAGGATTTAAATGATCAAATTTGATATCAAATAAGAATGTATTTACTTTCAAACTATGTTATAATCCCCATTTTAATAAAATTTCTAAAAACTTTTTATCTTCAAAAATAGTATTTTCTTATCTAAAAAATGAGTAACTCTAATTTGTAACTTAATTGTCTGATTCAATTTACATTATAAATAATAATATAATGTATTCTTATATGAATTGGGATGGATTAAAACCTTAGAAATGGAGAGATAAAGGAAGAAAGAAATTTGAATAATAAGCATTAGAAATAATTACTCCTAGAGAAAGTGATGTATTCAATAGTTAAATTGAATCTAAATCCATACGACCTTAAATATAAAATTAATTAGAAATATACAAAACTCCAATATGGAAATAATCACTTAATAATTAAGAATCAAATAGATTAGAGAAGTTTTATTCAGAACCTAATTTACGAAAATAATTCGAACCATTAAATAGATAAATATATTTTGAAAGAAAACATTTGCGTTAAGAAAAAGATGGTCATTTAGAAGATATAGATTATGGCATAAAAACATTTGATGTAAATTATTATAATAGATATTTAAGGTAGCAAATAAAGAAACTAATTAAGGTTATATTTTAGAAGATGAAATGTAAAGAAAAATAAGAGTAAATGATCATAGAAATGGAATAGGAACACATTTTTTAGGAGATAAAGCTTACCATATTCCTGAATATAGTTCAAATTTTTATAAACATCCTGACGGTGCGATTCCTGGTTCTAATATATAATATCGACATTAATTTAAATAATTATCTAAATGAAAAGCAAATCTCAAATATTTTAACATGCTGTTCATATTATCTCAGCTTCTAATATTTTGTAAAAGATGGGAAATCAACCTCAAGATATCTCGAAAATAAAATAAGTTTTATAAAAAGATTATTTATCTAGAACTGAATAAGACTTTTTATTAATTATAGAGTATATGTCTTGTTTTCAATATTTTGAAAAAATCAAAGCCAAATACAATGCTGATTTTATGAAACACTTATGTAAACATCTATATTTAAAAACATTTGGACCAAACTAAAATATATCAGTTAATAGAACAACTTATATTATATTAAGTGGTAGAGTTTTAGTAACATAAGAACTTGATGCAACAAAACCAAAAACTTTTACTGATATTTCTGATATACAATAATATTCTTAAGTGTCTGAAATGACATTTGGATAATCATTCAATGAATTTGGATTATAAGATGTTTAGAAATCTACAGCAATGACAATAAGATAAACAGATTTAGCATGTTTAGATTTTAAATTTATTATTGAATTAAACTCAAATATCAAATCTACAGAAAACAATGAAAAAATTACATTTCTAAAATAATTAACATATATTTAGTAATTCTCTGAGAATGAAATTAAATATTTTTCTTATAAATTAGAAGTTATCAAACCATAAAAAAATGAAACAATATATTTAGAAGGTGATGAATATTGTGATTGGATATATTTTGTTTTTAAAGGAGAATTTTCACTTACAAAAAGAGACAATTCATAATATGAACATTAATTAACTAGATTGATAGAGGGAGAAATATTTGGAGAAGAGACTTTTTTAAATTATGAGAAAAGATTTTTTAGTGTTAAATGTCTTTGTGATTCTGCTATGTTGTTTAGAATTTCTAATGTTGAACTAGAAAAAAAAGTTTGGTAAAGAGAATCAAGAAATATACTATTTTTACTAATTGGAGAAAAATGGTTATTTAGATTAAAAAGACTCGTTGAATTATCTAAATAACCTATAGATGTTTAAGAAATTAAATCACATTTATCATATTTAGAAGAAATTAGTTCTTGTAACTTATAATTTTAGTTTCAGGAAAACGAATTTAATCCATAAAATATAAATAAAAATTCAAGATTAAAATAAGGATCAAGATTATAAAAAAATATTATACTTCCTACATCATTAATTATTTAAAATTCTTAATAATTAAATTAATTTTTTAAACATTAAACTTGTAAAGCCTAAAATTTTAATAAAAATATTTCTTTTGATAAAACTCATACTAATACATCTACTAAATTGGCTGATAATTATCCTAAAAATAATGAACTCTAACCAAAAAGAAGAGTTTTATAGAAAATTATTAGTCCAAATATAAAAAGTACTAAAATATCCTCACATAATAATATTACTATTTCAACAAAAGAATAACCAGGTATGTAATTAGAGAATTTTGAAAAGACTTAAAATGTATTAAATGATGAATTAATTAATTGGGGAGGTAATTCAAGTAGAAGAAATTAAGAACTAAAAGAATAATTTTATTCTGCCATAAAAAGTTATGCTTCTCATGTTAAATATTAAAATTTAAACTTTATTGAAGCATCTTCAAATTATTCATAACAATTAAATAGTGAATATGAATTGTTAATGAAAAAATAATAAGAAAATATTGGCAATTTTTTTGAACTTGAACCAAGAAGCAAAACAGATAATTAATTAAGAAAAGATTACTTTTTAAAATAATTAAAAAAAATGCAAAAAAGATTATAAGTACTTTAAATGATTGCTAAAGGTTACATTACTTGTAAATATAATTAGTGTGTAAATGAAGAAGGAGAGATTGTAGATATAATTGAAAAGGCTTCAAAAGATGATGCTTATGAAATAAAAGATGGAAAGAAATAGCTTAAATTTAATTTTGTTACTTCCATCAATTATAAACCTATAGAAAAACCAGTATTTATAAATTAATGTTCTAGAAATTTAAAGATTTTGATCAATAAATTGTAGAATAAGAAGAATAAATTAGAGTCATTTCTGATATAGTATCTGGTAAACTTGATCCTGAGTAAGCACCCTCTGTTAATGAAGAATATAATAAATAAATGTCAATGAGAAAAAAAGCTAGTGAAGTTATTTAAATTCCAACTTTAGTGAAAACCTTCAGTTCAAAACTTAGAATTTCATCTGCTACATTTAAAAAAGATTTATCTAAAAATATCTTCTCGAATGCTATAAAAATTAGGAAGATGACATGAAATCCTATAAAATATAAATAGATAATAAGTTTAAAATTTATCTAAAATAATATGTATTGTCTCATATCAAGATTTATGAAGCCTAAATCACAACTTAATCTTGTTATAAATTATGCCTAATGATATAATCTTGAATTATTTGATTAAAAAATTATTGAAGATTTTCTTCATTATGCATTTAAGTTTATCTAATTATTTCTTTTCTACTACTTGTTCTATGTTATGATAACCTATTAGTAGGGGTTAGTTAAATTTAAGGTTAATTTTTTTTTTGCATTTTTAAATATCTGGCAAATTATTTTGCTATTAAAATAAAATATTAAATGAATTAATTTGGCTCTAATTAATCAATTATTATTAAAAATGCAATTATATTTAATTTACTATGATATAATAATATTAATTTACATGGTTTTTTCAGATTCTAATATTTCTGACTTTTTTAACCAACTTTATAAATAATTATCAAAAGTGACATTATTTTGTTATACAAAAGTAAAAAAATCATTTCTTGCTAAAATAATAAATCTATTTAAGATGCTTATAATTTAAATTTCAATTCTAAATTTATTTTCAAGTGTTTCATTCATTTTAGGTTCTAATAAATCATTAATAATTAATTAAATTAGGCCTGTAAATATCCCAATGTCTTTTCTATTTTAATTTAAAATAAGAAGAATCATTGTTGTTGTTAGACCTAAAATAGAGTTTTTAACATTATTATCTTTTTAAGAATATTTATTTTCAATGTAGGTAATATGATTTTAAATATCATTAATAGTAAAAACACCTAATAAATATAATTCTTCAATAATAGAAATGAATACACAAGAATTAATTTATGAAGTGTCAGATAATAAACTGTTAAAGTTTTAGTTTAATAGAATTATTAATTCATTTATTTAAAAATTCTTATATTAATCTTCATATTCTCTTAATAATAATAAAGTTAATTCTAAAATACAAGTTTATTTTGAGTTGATATTATTTCTGATTAATACTAATGCCATTTCAAATATATGGGATATTTAACTTCCAATAGGATATGCAACAATTAATGTTTTTAACATCTGACAAACTTATTCAATTATTAATGTATTCTCTTCAGCTTCTTAAAATTTTGATTTCATTAATTCTAATAATCCACTATTTCTTATTGCAATGATTACTACTTCAGATTATTCATTTTGACATTTTTCAATTAATTTTGTTAACAATTCTAACAATGGATTTATGATGCTTGTTCTTACTAAATTTTTAAGCAATTAAACTAAAAATGGGCATACAGTAACCAAAATTTAAGTCCATGCTAAATTTCCATTATAATTAGTAGCTACCTGTTTTATACATAATAAACATTGATATTAAACTACACTATCATTATTTTTAGATAATAGAGTTCCAGCTTATTCTAAGAATTATAAAATTTAGTTCTAATCTACTATAAGTATTAATCTATTTAATAAAATAGACAATCTTCTTTAATGAGTAAGTTGATTAGACGATTACAAGTATTACAAAATAACAGGATATTAGATTTAAAATGATATTTTTAATTTTGATTAAATTTTTGGTATTAAACCTATAATTATCAATAAACCATCTAATACTTTTGGATTAACTTAAAATTATGCTTAAATTGTTTAATCAATATATCCTTATAATATATTTTAACAAATTTGTGGTGCTCTAAATATAAGAAGTTCAACAGCAATTAATGCTAAATTAAAAACTTCAGCATCTTTTGGATGTAAAATCTTTTCAAATTCATTTTCTTCCTCTTATTCGATCATATCTTCTATACCAATTTCATTTGATTAATTTATCAAAACCAAAATCTTTTATAAAAAATTTTGACTCTCTTTCTCATAAAACTATTGCAAAATTTGATTAATAATTTACTACATGTTTAGAATATGTTATTACCTTTCTACAGGTTTATTTTTAAATGTTAATTATAATTTATCCAAAGGTAAAAATAATTATGATAATTTTTAAAATCTTATGAATGCTATTAATCCACTTTTAATAATTTAAATGTTATTAGAGTTTATAGAAATACTCAATAATTATAAGTAATCTGGTAAAATTTAAGATAAATCGAATGTATAAATCTCGAATAATTTTGAACATTTTGATATTAAATGCGTGATATTCTTATTATATTATTATTAATTTTTTTCCAATAATAAAGCAATTTTTTACAAAATTATTCTAAAAATCTATTAAATATCATTTTAAAAAACAATTGGTTAATAGGATAATATAAAATTAGTAAATACTTTATCCAAAAGCAGCAAAAAATGTTAAGAATATTTATTCAAATTATCATTTGGAATCCATTATTATGCAATTTTTTCCCAAATCAAATTATATTAATCATTCTTTTATTGATTTTTTTACATAAATTTAAATAACTGCTTTAATAATAAAAATAATTATTAATCTTAATTATTTACTTATAATTATTGATTAATATATTGTAGTAATTCAGGATACCTAAAAGGGTAATCATTCTCGCATATTTCCTTAATATTTAAATAATTATTATACTAGTAAAATCTATAAAGCTTCCTATTTGATTTAACCAATTACTTCCTAACAATAGATTGATAATATTTAAGTTTTAATTTATTTTTTTTGATCCTCTTGATAAAATTCTTAAATTGATTTTATAAATTTACTTTTTCTTTATTCAGAGCCAACCTTAAATCCAAAAGCATTCCATTTACGTTTGATTACATTTTTTAACAGGATAATTGTAAACAATCTAATTTAACTATTTTATTATTGTATTGATATTATTTCCAATAAATAGAAAGATAAATTGCTATCCTACTCTTCAAGGTTATTTAGATATTCTTCTGCACTCTTTCTTAAATTCTAATCTATTGAAGTATAAGCAGCAAAAATTCTTTCACAAAGTTAATTTTGCATTAAATAAATAAATTATATTAAATAATTATTGTTATTGAAAAAGATTTAGTTTATCTATTATTATTAGATTTATAAATATTCATTCAATTTTCATTTATTATTCTATTTATTGTTGTTATTTTTCTTCTTGTTCAGCTTTACCATTTAAAAAATCGTTAGATGCTCGATAAATTTCATAAGTCTATTGAATATCTATTCCAAGAGAATTACATTGATTATGTTCTGTCATAAATTAATATAATTCTAAGGAATCATCTTCATCAATTTCTGATCCAAAACATTTTTCAAATTATTCTTTAAAATGATGTTACATATCCTTTTTTTCAATTGATAATAAAAATCTAGCTACCTAACTTGGTTTTAATTCTCTTCTTAATTATTCTAAAGTTAAATCAAATGAAGTTAGTTCAGTTTAAATTTAATTTTTCACCTCTTAGATTGAAGATAATGTGCTTAAAGTAGAATAGAATTTAAATACTTTTCTAATTCATTTTGATGTCTAAGTAATTTTTATTATTTCTTTTATAGTATTTGTCTTTATTTATCTGTTAGTTTAAGATTTCTTAATATTGTATTTTAAGTATGCCTATAATTTGATGTAAAAACTTTACTCTGAGTTTGAAAAAATATCTTATTCAGTTTTAACTACTCCAATTATATAATTGATATAAGGTGCTAAACAATTTTCATAAATTTGTCTTGCATAATGATCTATCAATTAATGCCTTTCTTAAGATCCAGAACCAAATTTTTTCTATATAAATTATTAATAATTTAAAAATACATTCAAAGAATCTATAATTGGATCAATGTTTATTTCTCCAACATTTCCATTGATTGAATTTTATAGATTTGAAAATAAGATTATCTTTGTTTAATCCTAATCCCTTTTCTATATAATTTATAAAAAAAATACTTATGTTATTTTATTTTATAGATTAATTGCTAATTATTAAGTTCTTTCATTAACATTCTTAAAAATATCTAATTGTTCTGATAATTTTGTAACTTTGTTTTCTAACAATTCCAAATAAATCTTCTTTCTTCTTCTACTATTTCTTGCAGACTCTCTATTTTTTGCTAATTTATCTTCTTTATCTCCAAAATTATTTCCAGGAAATTATTAACTTTAAACTTTTTGTACATTTTCTTTTTTTTCTTAACTAAAAATATGATCTATTGATATATATATACACATCATCCACTATTTCTGAATTAGTCATTTTTATAAGTGATGATATTTTTTTTATATAAGTATTTTTTGTATTATATTTTGGCTTTCTTTATAATTCAAACGCTTACTTCTTTCCAAAATCTGCTTCTTATTCAAATTTCATATTACTAGAGTTTGAATTCTAAGCAAAATCAATATCATCAAAATGACTCATAGAGTTGATATTTTATATTATTTTATTCACTTTTCTTTAAATTTAAATATATATAGGTTTCATATATTTGTTAAAATAATGAATATTATTAAGATTAGTTGATATTTAAAATGCATATTATTATTTCTCTTTAGATTTATATGGATAATTATATTTATATATGTTATCTAATTCATACTATAATTATTTATAAAAATATTAAGAATGTAAAATCAATAATTTGGAAGTGATGCTAAAGCTTATAAAGAATAAGCTCAATAAAGAAAATAATAAAAAATAGAAAAACTATGGAATGAAATTGAACATAATCCAGAATTAAAGCCTGTAATTTTTTATTTTTGATTCTAGCAATTTCTTTAATTGAAAAAAAAAATAGCAACTTCTCATAAAAAGAGAGAAGAAACTACTGGAATGATTATGAGTATGAAAGAAGAATATAATCAATTAAAAGGTGATATCAAAGAGTTTTTAAAAAAATAAAACAAAATCAAGTCGGTCAACAATCCTGCTAATAATAAATGAAAAATGTTTCAGTTTTATTAATTAATATAATTTTAATTTATGCTCAAACAACTATCAAATAAAAAGTAAATCAAGAAATTAAAGAAGACAATTCAAAAATCTCTGAATAATGAAGTTCCTATCCCAGAATTAGAAGTTTAAGAAAAATTGAATAAAGAAATTGTAACATTTATACTTGATGGTGCAGTCTTATAATTAGGATAATTGAAATCATCAAAAGTTTTACTTAATTTTGAAGATCATTCTAATTTTATAACAAAACGATTAGGAAGAAATCCAGAAGATTTCAGGTATAACTAAATTAAGCAAAAGGCCAGACATAGTACATCAAAGTTTATTAACACTTCTTGATAGTCCACTTAATAAAGCAGGATTAATGAAAGTATTGATAAGAACAGAAGATAATAGATTAATTGAAATTAATCAGGTTACTAAAATTCCTAGAACTTTTAAAAGATTTAGTGGAATGATAGCAAAGTTATTAGAAACAGCTAAAATTTAATCAGAAGATTAAATATTACTCTAAATACATAATGATACAGTTTAAGAGTATTTTTCTAATGAAGCCTTTATTATAGCTACATCACATAAAGCTAAATTAGTCAATCTATAAGAATATATTTAGAAAAAACATAATGTATAATAAATAATCAATTTAGATGGTATTTGTTATAGGAGCAGTTGCTAAAGGCAATCCAGGTTTGGAATGTAAATTTAGTAATGATTGTATTTCGATTTCGAGATATTAATTAAGCACATCAAATTGCCTATCTAAAATTATTGATACATTTGAGTAATATTATTAAATTATTTGATTGTAATATTTATAATAAACATATTAATAATCTTAAATTATAATTATATTTTATGATATACCTCAAATATTAAATATGATATATATATACTGTATCTAAAATTTCAATAATAACATTTATGGCACAATCTTAATTACAATTCCTTGAAAGCTTATCGAAAAATATTGATTATATCTTGAAAAAATACATGCAAATGTAAATAGCATTATTAATCAAAATTAAAAATTGCTTAAGTGAATTTAATTTATTCGGCAATAAGGATATATTGTTTAGAATAGAATTAATATATATATCCATAAAAAGAGAAAAATTAATAAATAAAAATAATAGGATTAAATTAAAAAAAGATTGAAAATTCTTTAATATTTTTAATGATGAAAATTAATTATATTTAATAAAATAAATAGATTCAATATCATTAAATATTAGGCAATAAAGAGCTAAATATTAATTTTGGTTTTAACAAAAAAAAAATAGAAACTTTTGGCATAAACAAATGTTGGATAAAAACACTATATAAAAGTAGGATTAAATGAGTTAAACACATTAATGAAATTATAATAAGTTTTTCAATGATTATAATAATGGAAATATAATCTAAAGTGAGAATTGCGAAGATAAAATAATTTTCATTTTAAATTACTCACGCTTTTATACTATTTTTTGTTCTATATCTAATTAATTTCTTGATTTAAATCTACTATTTAATAGGTGATGATTCTTTTGTTATTGATCTAATATATAGAATTTAAATAATTACTTTTATTTTAAGAGTTCATTTAATTGTTCATTCTTTGATTCATTTTTACCTCTAACTGTCTCTTTAGAATTTGGCTATGCAGCTATATATGCAGCTTATTTTTAACTAGCTTTTAATTTTTTTATTGCTAAAGATCCTTCCAAATTCATTAATTAATTTAACTGACTCTAAAAATTAGTTTAAATCTCACAAACACATTATTAAATTCCTTTCCATGATGTTGATGATTCTAAATTAGATATTAATTATGAAAGCTATCTTGAATAGACATTAGCATTAATTATGTATATTAAATACATAATATTCATATATAAACTTTCAACATAATCAATATTTTTGCATCCATTTTTATTATATGTATTATACCCATTAAATAATGAAGTTAGAAATCCAACATGAAATAATAAATTAGATAATTAGTATTAAGGTGCTCTAGAAAATAATATAGCAATTAATCTATAATTATAAAAATACATTTTACTTAACAAAATTCAATTAGAAAATATTGTTTTAATGACTATTAAAAAACCAAATGATTAAAATATGCAGAACAGTTTCATTTAAATATTTGTAGATATTTTTTTCATCTCTATTTGGATCATAAACATCAAAATAAAGCAATCCATTTACTAAAGTTGTAAATAATAGATATTATTTAAATTTAAAATCTATTATCTCTGTAAAACTGTTCAATTCTATTATCTTCTTGCATATAAAATCAAATACTTAACTGAAACAGTTTTTTAGTAGACTATTTAATTGTTTATCTTAAATTATGAAAGAATTCTTATAGATTTCATTAATAATAAGACCACATTCAATAGATTGTTTTTAAAGATTTTTACTTTCTTTATCAAAAATTCCATATAAGTAAATTTAAAATAACATAATTATTGTCTTTTCATTAATGAATGATCTTTATGCTAGATTTAAAAATTGTTATTTTTAGTAAGAATCCTTAACCAAATTTTCTGAATAATAGAGAGAATTAAATATCGAATCATTTAGTATTTTGAAAACTCGAATACAACCTTTAAGAGAATGTTTATTGTAAATAAAAAAAGATTACGCAGTTTCAAAATGAGTGAATTATAAATCTATATTCCTTCTTGGATATATAGATATAAGTTTTGTAGTAGAAAATCCATCTTGTGATATGATATAAGTTTTATTTCTTGATCTTGAAACAAAATTTTAACAATTTTAGGAATCTACACTTTCACTTTTATTAACTTTATTTTCAATAGAAGGTAAACTAACAGAACTATGATTCATTTTTCCCTTTGGAGAGATTAGATTTATATTTGATTATTAGCCATAAAATCCTTTATTATAGGAAGATTACATTATTCTCATTCTTAAAGGGGAAGATTCTTATAATTCAGACATAATTGATTTATTTTTCTCATTGCTAAAATGTTTTAAATTATCTATATCTTTTTATGTCATATCATCCATTATTTGATTTGCTGTTGAATTATTATCTAAAATCCATTATGAAGAATTTAAAATTTATTACTCCTCCGAAAATTCAATTGGAGTTAATGGATCTTATCTGCTTGTAATAGAATTCTAAAAATCATTTTAAGTTTATTATGTTTTTTCGGGTGATTTTAATAATTTAACAAATGCCAATATACCATCCTTAAATTTTTATTTAAATATTTACTATTTTTAATGATTTATATTCTTAATAACATTGTTCATTCCTCTAAGGTTGTTTCAATAAAACTTGGAAGAAAAAACTAAACCAATTTGTATAGTCTAAATATTTCCATATTTGTTCTTATAAATAAAAACCAAATTTAAATTTATCTATCCATAAACTTAAAATATCTCCTATAAAAGTAGTCATTTAGTGATTATAAATATACAATGAAAAGGTAAATAATAAGTTATATTCTAAAATTTGATAGGCACTCTTTTAAGGATTTAGAAGTATCAATTGTTCTATGAAATTAACTAAGTGATTAATATTTAAGTTTATTTCATCATTTATTAAGGAATCATAAATTTTTCTAACTTTTATAAGCTTAATACTATACATGAAACTTCAACAAAAGTTGATAGCAATCTATCCACTTAACGAATATTGTTTTAGTTTTAAAATAATAAGACAGTTTTATAAGATCTAATAATTTAAAATTTATCTAAATTGTTTGTAAGGTTCTTAAAATGCTTTTTATTATATTTAGCTTCTAAATCTATGAATAATGATTCCTATGATAATAAATTATATTTATACCCATTCTCCAATTAGCTCAATTTTACTTGGATTCAAGATATAAGATAGAATTGCGTTTAAATTTTCAGAATTAGTAAAATAAACATAATTATCCATATCAATTGAAGGTGTTTCTTTATTACAAAGCCATTGTTAAATCTTAGTTTTATAATCTATTATTTTTTGTTATACTGGACTCACAGATAGAGAATCACTTTCAGTTTCACTTTTAATATTACATTTCTTAATGAAATGTTAATGAAGCAATTTTTTGTTTTTATTTTTTATATGGATCAATTTGCTTTAGATTAATTTTTAAGGAACTTTTATCTTATTTTATATGAAATCTAAAATAATTTTTATAAATTATTACAATCCTCTATTTCTTAATTATGCTCTTCAATCCATTCGAGATCTTTAAATATTGATTATTTTAATTCTTCATAGATGTCAATAATTTGAAGTTGAAATTCTTCATTTTTAGTGTGCATTAAGAAAAGTTTAAATATGGATGCCATTTATTCTAAATCTAATTTATACTCATTTGAAAGAGTAAAAATAGGTATAATAAATTTCACAGAAAATCTTTTTGCAATAATTAATCTTTCTATGACTTCTCTACTAAAAGGTATCGAGCCTTGTTTCAATTACTCTTTAAGTATTGAAGTAATATTATTGCTATAAATAAAAATAAATGATATACTTATGAGATAATTGGCGATTTTATTTATTAAATAAAGATCTAGTACCTAAGAATTATCTATATTCTTAAAGAATTGCAACTTCTTATAATGCTTTATGGAAAGCCATAATAAATTTAGGGTCATTTTTATATTACTCAAAACATTCATTTAATAGCATCTCTATGGTTACATCTGAAAAAGGATAGGAACATATCACTAATATAACATTATCTTTAATACATTATTTGATTAAAGAAGGACTGTTGAAATTTTTTAAGGTTTTTAAACTCTATGAAATTTATTTTATTCCTTCAGCAATTTTTTACAATCTAACATAATCATCTTCAACTCCAAGCTAATTATAGAAATTAATTTTCTTACAGCTTCTTCGAGAATCATAGTAAAGGATAAATAAAAATTTATAATTGAGCAATTTATAAAATAAAATAGATAATTACAAAATAAGTGTGTCATTTATCACATAATACTTTTACAATTGTTGTAATAGCTTAAGAAGTTTATTTCGAACTTTTTTTAATGGACTAAAGAGAACCTAATCTTTATTCAAAAATATCAATTTATTCATGTAAATTAAATCTAGACATTGCAGCAGAAGTAAAAGATAATTTCAATTCTTCTTCTTAATTAATTTTTAAAATTTTATTTAACCTGCTTATTTAATTTTTTTCTATTATAATCATAATTTATCTTAAAATTTACTTAATCAGCAATTTTTTTCATATCAAGAATTTCATTTTATATTTTCAAATTCTCCAAAACTTCATTAGCATAAATAATATCATCTAATAATGATATATTTAATTTATCAATAAGTTTTTGTTCTCCATTGATAGTAATAAATTCTTTAACGCTACAAAATTTTTCTATTTCAGAAAGATCAACAAGTTCATCTTTGCCATTTTTTAATAAAACTTTTCTTAAATTTTTTCTTTTTTCAACAATATTTCTTACAACTAAGAAAACTTTTCTTGAATTATTCAAATATTTCTTGAAAATTTATAAAAAAATATACCTACAAAGCTTCTAATTATTTTTTAATTTTCTCTATTTATTCTACAAATTCAGCAAACTTTTTATTTTAAACATTATCAAAGATTCCTGTTTTGTAGATATTTGTTTTTAATTTTTTTTCATCTCTCTTGAATTTGATTTTTCCTTTTTCATCATCAGTATAGTTGGATGAATCATTATCAAAATTTGTTTTAAAAAAAGGTTTAATCGTTGATTATTTATTTGATGATTCATATTCTGTTATTGCTCTTCCAAGTTTTACTGATTATTGTGGTGATTTACTTTAGGATAATCTTGGTAATTTTTCATTGGTAATCGGTATTAATCTGTTTGAAGTAATATGCTAATAAAAAAATAATATAAAATACTCTTATTTCTAATTTCTTTTATTTTAAACTTAATCTCTCATTGTTTAAAGCAAGACTTCCTTCTAAATTTTAGGATTCATTAATTTTTTCAAGTTGTTTCACCACAGGTACTTATAATTAATATTCATGAAATGTATTCATATATTATAAAAAACAATAAGATTTGAATTTATGAAATGAAAATACATAACTCATAATTCTTCAACTCTATCAAGATCAATCCATTAATGTGAAGTATTTTCTTTTAAGAAAGTGATGAAATTGGCTTCATCTCTTCCACTATTATAATCAATAATTTAATCCTTTTATCCATTTTTCCAGAATTTGATGGTTGGGAATGATTCAATATTGACTCCTTCAATCTAAAATTAGAATATATAAATTACTTCATTAGCAGTAGCATCACATTTAGCAATAATAATATTTGGATTAACCAATAATTTTTTAGCTAAACCTTCATAAATAGGAGCTAATTATTTGCAATGTCCACACCAAGGAGCATAGAATTCAATTAAAACATCTTTATCATTATTGATAACCAAATCTCTAAAATTTTTACCAACAACAATTTTGACTGGTTCATCATTAGTTGAAGGTATTTCTTCAGATTTCATATATCTAGTTAATGTTCCATCAAAGAAATTATTTAAAAAAGTTCTAAGTGATTCAGTTGTAATTTCACCTTCAAATCTATATTTACCATTTCCTCCTAATTAATCATATAACATAACATTAGGAATGTTAGTTGTACTTGCACCAATATATTCAGCTAATCTATGGAATAAACCAGATCCATCATTGGGTTTTGAATATGAAAATTTTATTCTAAAATTATATAATAATATTTACTTATCTTTGAATGAACCTGCAACAGCAGAAAAAGCATTAAATGCAGCAATACCTGTATCAGTATCTTCTGTAAATAAAATGATAGCATTATTTTTTTATTAGAATATGATATTGATGGCTTTATCATCAAAAGGTAAAATGATTGGATTTCCATATACATTAATAAAAGCTTCTAAATTATTAGCAGTAACTGATTATTCAAAATTATTTCTCTTTTCATCAAAAGATTTAAAAAGAACTATCTTACCTGTTACACTATATTTTTCAGCTGATTCTGGATTGAAAGTATGAGCAAATGTAACTTTGTCATTTTGTTATGCAACTTATTTAAATGTTTCAAAATCATTATCATCTGATGATGATCCAAAAAAGACAATTACAGGAGCGTTTGATACTCTTACTAAGAAATTTTCTAAATCTTAAACAGAATTCAATTCAGTTGATGGAGGTCCTGATTTTTTATTAATCCAAGCAATAATATCACCTTATGTTCTTCCTCCTTCATAATCAATTGCTTGACCATTAATGAAGAATTTTATTGTTGGATATCCTTGTATAGAAAATTTTTCAGCAATTGAACTTTCAGCTGTAGCATCAACTTTTGCTAATGGCACATAATCATCTCCTCCTTATTTCTTTAATTCAGCTGCTGCTGCTGAATATTCTGGAGCTAATTTCTTACTTTTATATATATTTATTATTTATACCAATGTCCACACCATGGTGCATAAAATTCAACCATTATGAATTTGAATGTATCTATAGCATCTTAAAATGTATCAGTAGTTAACACCATTACATTATCTTCCTCTTAAAATGCTCCAAAACATGTTGCCAATAACAAGCTGATCAATACCAATGATTTCATAAATATGGAAATCTTTTTATTTAAAAATTTTTTAATGACATCAATTCAAATATTATTATTCACACAAAATTATTGAATTATTTTTCAAATTCATAATCCAAAAATTTATAATTAATATTTTTATTATTTTTTCTGTTCAATTTTCACTCTGACTTCTTTTTTCTCTTAAATCTTTCTCTATTCATTCATTATTTATATTTATGTCTACAAAACTTAAACTCCATTCACCATAGATATCCAAAACAATTTAAACCTATCATCTTAATAATGAAGCCATCTATAGATCTCTCTAAGTTTAAAAATCACTCAATCTATTTTCAGAATAATAAGATGAATAAATTAATATGATTAACAACAAAATTATAAACTAATAACTAAGTATATTCAACGATAATTTAATCAACACAAATCTCTAATAATAAACTCCTACATATGAATAAAACAATATTTAAATATCTTTTAACACACTTAGAAATAATGAAGAATAATCAATATAATCACTCTCTTAAAAATTTTGTATCTTTTGTTCTTAAGATTAAAAACTAATTTAAATTTGTCCTTGTTCTTATGCTCATTAAAATTGTGCCACTAATTTTATTTAAGCTGGAAGTATATTAAAAAGAATGTCATGCAGATAGTGTAAACAGAAATACCATCTTAAAGGTTGTATCTAATTTAATTTCTAAAAGTGGAAAGAATTTAAATTATCTCTATTCCTTGAATTATTATTAATGTTAATCGTTGTATTCATAGTTATCTATTCAACAATAAAACTCAAAGAATAATTAAATTCAAATTAGATTAAAACTTATTCAAAAATTGTATTTCTTTGTACTATTGGATTTATTGTGTGTGTAGTTGTCATTTCTAAGATACTTTAACACTTTAAAACTATCAAATTTGAAGTGTAATAATACTAACCTAGAAATACTGAATATAATATTCAATATCTTAAACTCCTTGTTTAAGATTGAATTTATTTACTTTTTATTTTACAAATATAAATATTTATTATGATTGCTTCTAAAAAACAAAAAAATAAATTTGAATAATAATGTGTATAGTTTTGAATTATTAACCATATATTTAATCCTTAGTCAGAATACTAATGGTTTTTTAGTTTTTACTTGTTACTTATTTTCAAAAGAATTGATCGAATTTCTTGATTATCTTGGCTTATTTCTCTATGACATTCCAGTAGATCTTCTTTATTCTAAATTTATTGCTATTTCCTTTACACTAGGTTGACGAGTTGAAACAGATTTTTAACTAAGTGCACCATCTTTATTTAAAGATTACTTTTTATTCAACAGACTTATTTCAGTAAGAGATTAATTACTTTATTTTTTTGTCTGCTTAAATTTATTCTATTTATCTGATATTATTTTAAAAGTTTTATTTGATTTTTTATTGCCTAAGATATTTTTATTACATTATTTCAATTCCTTATGATTTGTATCAGTTTAAGTAATCTAAATAGTACTTTTCGAAGCAGATCTCTTTGTTAAAATTTAAGAATCTAATTGTATATATTTATTGTCTTATTAAGGTGTTGTAAGATATTGCACTATTTCTTATTAACAAGATCTTAATGAACTTCTTTCTACTTATTATTAAGTTATTTATTCAATTCTTTTTTAATATCTTTTTATGGCTAGTTATACATCAAATTAAATAGACTTTAATAAAGTCCTTTCATCATCTTCAAATGAATTAATTGATTATAGTTTTTCTAGAAATGAACTTTTGCCTAATGAAATTCTTGATCCAGCATCATCATTTTAGATAGATTTTCCAATACTACATGTAACAAACCCTTTAGCTTTTACTTTAGTTAATTATTTTGAAAACTTCTATCTTATCTACTCTAATTTATCAAGAGGTGGTTCAGAAATACTTTCTCTATATTTCATAAACAATGGTAATGTTTAAAAAAATAACGATTATAATTAATTAAATAAATTTATCGATAAATTTCATTTCATTAAATCAAAATCATAACCTAATTTATTAATCTCTCCTCTTATTTTCATTAATAATTTCTCCTTTTGTTCTTTACCTTTTAAAAATTGATATGTTTTAATCTAATTTTTAAATTAAAATATACATTAGGTGGTTTTGTTTTATCTAAATTGGCATTGATAAAACATAACTAAATTTAATCTCCTTTAAGTATTATTTTAAATAATCTCTATAAAGAATTAACACTCTTCACCAACATCTTGTCATTCTTTAATTATAGGATATATAAATATCCACCATTTATATAGATATATCTAAAATCTGTAGAAAACAAAGAAGTAAAAAATGATCTTCCATGTTTTGCTTTTTTCTTATCCATTGTATATAATATAGGCTCTTTAATTTCTATTTCTGCTTTCTTCTCAAATTTATTTGGCTCAGGATTTTTCCTTTTATCTTTCCATTCCTGCTTGAATTTAATATTAATGTCTTAATAATCAAAGTCTATGAATTTTGGATAAACTTAACTAACAACCTTTTTTGGCTATTCAATAGGTTGCTTTTAAATTTCTTATTATTTTTACACTTATTATTGTTATTATACTTCTTGTTTTATATTAGTACTTTTTTATTAATTTTATTCTAAAGGAACTTCATCATCCTCCTCTATCACTAATTTTGAGCTTTTCTCTTATTTTTCTTATTATTCATCATCAGAATCCTAATGATACTCAGCTTTCACAATATTATAATCTTAATCACCTGTTGAAATAGTTTTTTGCATATTTATAGATTTAATTTTTAAGAAAATTAATATAATTGTGAATATATAAAATAATCATTACACACATTATTTCTAAATATTCTCTATCTAACTTTTCTCTCAATAAATTAATAACTATTGGAGTTCATAAACATCAATTATTTATCTTTTAAATAAAAAACCAAAATATTAATTATAAGTTAACTTGAATCAAATGATGCATAGATAATTCTATAAACAAATTTGTATTTTAAAGATTAATAATTTATGTATATAATTTATTGTTATTTCTTTACATAAACAGTACGAAAAGAGAAAATAACAAATATTATAATTATTTTCATAATTTCTAGATAATTATTAAAATAAATAGCATTAAATAATTTAATGAAATGTAAATAATATTTTCTTTAATCAAATTAGTGTCTATTATAAAGATTTACTTCAGTATTATAAGATTAATTAAAACGTAGTTTCATATAATAGAATAATTGAAATAGTAAATAGTTCTTTCTAATTCTTTTTATAATATAGTTAGAAATTGATTAATGAAATAAAAAAGTATTCATAATGATTAAGAATATAATTTATATGTGTAAATCAGTTTAACTAAAAAGAGTAATAGTAAAATTTTATAATTTGTATAATAATAATAAGAATGTTAAGAAAATCTCAAAGAAAGGTTTGAATTTCTAAAAATAATATGATACAGATTTTACATATGTTGAATTTATAAATAATTAACTTTCTTATTAAAATTAATTGGAATGGGAAGTCAATGCTGTAAAAATAATAACATTCGACAATAAGGTAAATTAAGTATGATAGTATTATATAGAGGAAGTAATTTTACAAAATGATCAAACAGCGAATGCATCTCCAAATCCATTATAAAAAATTTCACTATCTTAATAAGGTAGTAGATAAAGTCAAGTTGAAGAGGTTTAAATTTAAGATGTGTGCAAATAGCCAGAATATGTATTGGAGAGTGAAAATAATTAAGATGCTGTATAATAGGAAGAGATTCCTAAAAAAGAGATTGAAGTAATATAAAAGGAAGAATGTGAATAACAAATGCCTATGACAAAAGCTGAAAGTAATTGTATTTTTGATATTTAAATAGTCAAAGAAGAAATAAAAATGTAAAATTAAAATTAAGGAGGAGGCTCAGTAAGGATAAAACTAGGACATGATATTTTTGTTAAACTTAAAGAAGGATCAATAGGAAGTCAATACAATTTTGGAAAAGTGTTAGGATAAGGTGCATTTGGAAAGGTTTGGAAAGTAACGCATAAAACTACTGGATTAGTTAGAGCTATTAAGTAATTAAAAAAAAGTTCTTTAATAAAAGAAGATGAATAAAGAATGTTTTCAGAAATGAATATTTTAAAGAATTTAGATCATCCACATATAGTAAAATTATTCGAACTTTATCAAGATGAAAATAATTATTATTTAGTTACAGAGTACAATTATTTTTTTCATTCGTTAGGTATTTATCAGGTGGAGAACTCTTTGATAGAATCAAAAAAATGTCATCGTTTAGTGAAAACATAGCAGCTGATTATATTAGATAAATATTATTAGCAACTATGCATTGTCATTAATAACATATAGTACATAGAGATTTAAAACCTGAAAATGTTATTTTTATTAGTGAAGATCCAAATTCTTAATTAAAAGTTATAGATTTTGGAACTTCTAGAAAATTTGATAATACAAAAGCTATGAGTAAAAGATTAGGGACTGTAATCAATTTATAATATTTAAGCCATATTATATTGCTCCTGAAGTTTTAAATCATTAATATAATGAAAAATGTGATATTTGGTCATGTGGAATTATTTTATATATTCTCTTATGTGGATATCCACCTTTTGCTGGTAAAACTGAAAATTAAATTTTGGATAGAGTCAAATAAGGAAAATTTACTTTTGATCGTAAATTATATAAAAAATATTTAGCTGAGGATTGGGATTAAATATCTAAAGAAGCAAAAGAATTCATTAGTAAATTATTAAGAATGGATCCTAATAAAAGATTATCAGCAAAGTAAGCACTTGAAGATCCTTGGTTAGTTAAATATGCTCCATCATCATAAGTGAATAAAAGAGTTCTTGATAATATTAGATAATTTAGGGTATGTTTGATATCATTATAATATTAAGGCTTAAACTATCTTAAAATAAGCCCTAATGTCATATATGATCACTTAAATGTCAACATAAAAAGAGATTTCAGAACTTTAAAATGAATTCAAAAGACTTGATATCAATAATGATGGGTATCTTTCAAAAGAAGAATTAATAAAAGGATATTAATAATTGAAATTAGATTATAAGTATGCATAAGAGGAGGTTGATAGAATGATAGATATGATAGATATCAATAGATCTGGAATGATAGATTTTTCTGAGTTTTGTATGGCTGCAATTAACTAAGAAAAATTATTATCAGTTCAAAGAGTAGAATAAGCATTTAAAATATTTGATTTGGTAAATATTTTATTTATATTATAGAATGGTGATGGATTCATTTCTAAATAAGAATTAGAATCCATTATGGGCGATCTTGGAGATGATGTTTGGAGTTAAATTCTTTCAGATTGTGATGGCAATAATGATGGAAAAATTTCTTATGAAGAATTCGTAAGAATGTTAAAGAACAAAAAACTTTGATTCTTATTAATATATAATCGTTAGTTCTTCCTAACTTATTATCATATATTTACAATTATTAAGCCAGTAAAAAATATAAAAATTTTATTCTGTAATTTTTATTGTTAAATGATAAATATTATTGTAAAATAATTGGTATATTTGAGTAAACATATATATTCACCTAAAACATTTTGAAAATCTTGATAAACCAGAACCTGAAATCCTAAGATATGCTATTGAAAGATTAAGAAATTTTAATCATGACAAAAATTCTATTGTTTATTCTTAAATGTAATTAAATAAATCATAAATGGAAGGATATTTTAGAAAGACTCTTAACTGACGAAATATTAAAAATATTTAATTTTTGTAATTGTAGTCTTAAATAACTATTTAGTTTGAAGAATCCAATATAAAAGATAGAAGAATATATAATAGAGGATTTTTAATATTTATATTTATTCATAATAAATGGAGATTTATCAATTGTTTCTCAGAAAGATTAATCAAATATAGACATAATAAATTGAAGAATAACTATTCCTTTTTTTATATATACTTAATAGGATTTTATATAACTATTTTTTTAAGAAAATAATAGAGCTAAATTTTAATTATGCTTCCGTATTTAATTATTTTTGACAATATTGTTAATTTATATATGTTTAAATCGTTTTTTAAAATTCTATAAGTTAGAAAGAAACCTGAAATCTAGGCAATATGGTTGTAAATATAATAATCATTATAATTTCTATATTCAAAAAAGTTTCAAATTTATGATTAATTCATTAAATCTTTTTAATTTCTTTCTTCATTGGGAAATTTAATTATTTAGACAAATTATTTTTGGCTTAAGCATTGGTTTTAATCAATCAATTTTTCAAAACAAAAGTTCAGTTTAATATTTTACTATTTTGTAAAACGAAAATTTTCAAAAGCTAAACATTGTTCTGATTTTTTGAATTAAGTTTTATTCAAAATTTAGTCTAATTTTTGATATGAAAATTATAGTTATTTTAAAGAATTATTATTTGATTATGATTAAATTCTATTTAATAGATTATCTTTTAATTTATAGTCAAACTTTCCATTCAAATATCTGATCATCTAAGCTATAACAATACTGGTGGAATTAAACATAAATTTTAATGGTATCAATGTAATCAATATTATTATAACTCCGATTGTAATAAAGTATAAATTAGTTTAAGTATGCCAAGTTAAGACTTTAGAAATTTCATCATCAAGAACATAAGTTATTTCATTTTCAAATGTAAGATTAGTTAGACTATTTTAATAGATATTAAAATATACATTAATGAAATTAAGGTAGTTTTTGGTTACCGTGAAGCTTTAATGTGCATTTAGCATTTAAGCAAGCTGTTATATTTATAAATTGGTTTAAGAGTATTGTCGATGGATAATTTAATATCTTTCCAATCAGAATTATTAAATCCAGTCTGTTACTCGTCATAAATATATAACAGATCCTTAGCAATACCAAAATTGATATAACTTTTAGTGTATAAAATTAATCCATCATCATAAACTAGGATAATGTTTAAACTACTCACTTAAGCAAACTATGCTATATTATGAAAATTTATCAGTATTGATGCTACTCCTCCAACAATAAATTATGAATCAAAAAGTACTATTGAAAATGCTGATAATATATTATCATAATTTTCCATTTTTATTAAAGAACTTAGTTTATATGGTACAATTTAGTTGCTTTATTAAAGCTCAATTGTATAATTGAGAAACCATTCTTACTAAACTATTTCAAAAGATTCATTTTTTAATTTTGTTAGGTAATATCCTGTCAAAAAATTATCTAGAAATGAAACCAGATATACTTCATGAGATACAGTAAAAAAATCAAATGTGTATTGATTTATGTATAAAAGATTCATAAGTTTAAAAATTTTAATTTTATCTATGTTTCTTTACTGAAAATGATTGGAATTAGAATAGCAAACTAAGGTTCTTTATATATTTTCATTAAACTATTATGATGCTTGACAAGGCATGATTTCTTGATTTATTTTTAAATCAAGTGAGCTAGACCAATAGTTAATTAAACTTAATTTAGCCACTTTTGTGATTATCATATTAAAAGTAAAGCTTAAAATGTCTTATATTTTTTCAGATTAAATATTTAAAGCCCTATATTATATACATTTTAAACCTATTATTTTATAGTGTTAATAGTTGCTCTGAGGTTTCTGATATTTGATTTTTTGTAACATTTAGTTGTATATTTGAACAAAGAATAAGTATTGAAAATGTTAGACAAAAAATCAAAAATGAATAGATTAGTAATATAGTACTCATTCTCAGATTTGAAAATAACTTATTAAGCTACTTTTAGCAATTTGATAATTTTTCTGTGGAATTAATTTTCATTTAATTATATCATTTAATACTAAAAGTTAAATAATAAATTTATTCACAAAAATATAAAGAGAAATCTACATCTATCGCAATAAAGCATCAAATTGAACTGATATATTATATTTTAATTTTAAAGTCCATTAATAATTTATTATGATTAAAAATAAGAATTTTTATATAATTTCTTAATCATAATTTCTTTAATTAATCGCTATTATTTATAAGTACTAGAATTTGTTAATTTTTATGGTATTTATAAATTTTATCAATTCTTTCAAAATTGAAATATGGGTTATTTGATTCATGGATTGGATATATTGTTAAAATAAATGAATAAAAAATAGTTTACAATTATGAACAAAAATATTTATTGCAAATGAAATTAAACTTTTTAGTGGGAACAATTCAAGTAAATTAAACATTAATATAATATCAAATTCTAATTTCCACTTAAGTCAACAATAAATTTTTCTATAATTTGCTTAAATTAAGGCTAATTTATTTATTCACTAAAATTAATCAAATTTTTCAAAAGAATTATTCAAAGAATCCTTGTCATTTTCTTGATAAATAAATTTTTAAATCAATTATGATTTGGAATAATATTGAATTTTTTTTTAGAAACTTGGGTAAATTGAACCTTTCTTTTGATAGCTTTTATTTTTTGATAACTTGAATACTTTATGCATAATTCTCCAATCCTTATATATAATTGTAATATTCAGATCCTTAATAAACAAATTTTTGAAAAATTCAATAATCTTCACTAAAATTAAATTGTTTTAAATACTTTTATCAATCGTTGATGATACAGATATTTATACTTTTAAAGTATTACGTGAGGAATGAATATAAAAAAAAATTCTTACTTTACTAGAGCACAATATAATTAAGTGTTTTAAAACTCTATGTTTATAGAAATATTATTTGAAATTTTTTATATATAATTATTACTTGTAGATATCTACTTGTATTTAATAAGTGATTAGTAATATTTATAGTTGTATACATAACATAAGATTTTGAAACAGTAAAAGTAAGGATGAGAAATGAGTATATAAGTAAAATTGTGCTTAATCTGACATAGACTTTAAATTATTAAAGGTAAACGAGCATATATTTATCTTTTAATATAATTTATAATTTCTATATATTAAAAAAGTTAGATGACAATCTATTAAGTTTAATATAAAATAAATTGTCAAAATTCTCATGATTTTATATCAGTTATTGATATAAAAAAATAAAAAATATATTATGAATAAGTTCAATCCTAATAAATAGACTTTTCTATTCCTTTTGCTAATAATTTGCTTAATTATGCATAAGTTCCAGGACCAGGACTTATAGAGGAACTTCCAAATAGTCCTTTGAATCTTTTTTCACTACCCCAATAGGCTCTTTTAACAGGAACAGAACTTTAAATTTTTGCAAATGAATCGCTAAGAACAGGAGTATAAGTTCCAACTGGAGGAAGTAAAGGAAGACTTTTATTTTTTTCTGTATTATGTTTTTTTCTCCAATATTCTGGTTTAGTGTTATTTACTTTAATTTTAGGTAAGAATGACTTATATAATTGTTGTATATCTCACATGTGGATTATAATTTCCAGGACCAGGAACCATTATACTGTGTGCCATTGCATCTTCATATGGATCAGGTCTTTAAAGTTCTTTGACTTTTCGAGTCTTTAATATTTTAAGTTCTTTTTCTATTTATTCTTAAGTTTTCTGAATATTATAAGTTCCAACAGAAGGATTATTTACTCTCTTTTATTCCTTTTATAATTAATCAAATAAAGTCAAACGATTTGGATATTTAACTATTTTTTCTGGTATTTTTTCAATTGAATATGATTAGTATTATTAAGGACTTGGATAACTTTTTAATATTTTTGTGTAATCATCTAAGTAACTTCCTCTTTTTGTTTCATATTTTTTATGTGCTTATTCTTATAGGATAGTGTATAATGAAACTTACTTTTTTCAATTTGTTTTAATAAATCTCTATTTCTCATCATTTCAGCTGGATCATGATAAAATCTAGGGATTGCATATCCCTCTATACCAGAATCTGTTTTATATACAATTGAATATATTTATTCAGGACTCAACATTTAATCAAATTTAATATTATTTTAGTTAGAATAACATCAATTAATACTAAATCTATTTAGTCAGCATTATAAATAAAAATAAATAATAATTTCAAGTATCAAATATAATTAATCTCTTTCAATTATGATTGATTAAGTTTATATATATTTATAAAAAGTTTACAAGAATTCCATTTTGAAAGATGAAATTGTCTCCTATAATTTAATAGATTAAGGATAATATAAAAAAAGGAATTGATATAGAGAATAGTTTATATATGTTAATGATGAATACACTTATTTATACATTATCAGATACTGATGTTAAATTCATTTCCTCTCCCAACAAAAATTACAAATAAAAATGTATTAATTTTTTAGAAGAAGTTAAGAAACAAACCTAGAATATTGACATCTCATAAATTTATTAGGTATATATGTATATGTATAAAATATAGAAGTATAATTTTGATATAACTGGAGATGATTGCTTCGAAAACTCAGATGAAGAGAAAATGAATTTTTTTAATAAGGAACAAATCATTATCCAAGTTATTTTTTATTATTATTCTAGAAAGGTAGAAAGCCAACTGCATATGAAGATAGTTTAATTTAGTCATTGTTGAATCATCTAAATGAAAAAGATGAATTATTAAGAAAAAGATTTAACAGTAAAAAATAGCATCCAGAAAACTTTAAAGAATATTTAGATTTAATGAGTCCTTATGAATTATGGAAAGTTATATAAGATATGAAAGGAGGTTATTATTTCTTTGAAGTATTTGAGAATCAAAAACCTGAATATGGAATAAATTATTCTTATATTGATAAAATGATGATGTGCTCCAAATCATTTGAAAGAGAATATAATCAATTCAAAACTCATTTAAGATAATAATAAGACTTACATTATCAGGCATTAAAATAGGAAATGACTAAATTAAGTTCCATTGAACTTAATACTATATCTGAACCTATTTGTCTAATAATTAAAGAAGATCCAGAAATAGAATGTAATTGTAATTAGAGAGGAGCTAGATAAGCTTTACGATAATGGGCCTTTTTAAATAAAGTTATTAAGCTTTTTACATCACATTCTAATTAAGAAATTTAACAATTTAATTATAAAGCTTATTTTAGAAATTTGATCTTCAATTTAGAAATATACACTAATTAAGTAAATCAATAATTTGATTATTTAATAAAAGTTAATGAAATCTTGAAATCTAAAGTTGCATCTTTGAGAATTATACACTAATAATTGATTTAAGAATCATAAAATTTAACTAAAGCTTATAGAATATAAGATGAAGAGATTCTTAAATTGAAATAATAGGTTTAAAAATTACATTTAGAAAAAGCTTAGATTAATACAAGATTAATTAATACAGAGAATTCACTAATAAAAATTAGAGAATTTAGTGAACAAAATACTATTATAAACAAAACAAGATTAGTTGCTGAGAGTTTAGAATAGTTAGAATTTGAAAATAATTAAGCAATAAAAATGTATAAGCTCTAATAAATATGTTAATTAACTTAAACAGAAAATTCTTTTGAATATTAATTATGTTCTATTTGTAAAGGAGAAAATGTAATATTTTAAAATATCTAATAATTAAAAATACCTTAAATAACTTTTGAGAAATTAGAAGTTTAATAAATTTAAAAATCTCTAAATAATTAAATTCATCATAAGTTAACTTAGACAGATTTTAAAATATAATAAATTTCTAATAAGAATGATTTAAATCGTTATCCTCCATCTCCTGGAATTTAAAAAAGAAGAGGTGTATCAACATCATATCATTTGGTTAATGAAAATTCAATTCTCTTAAGATAGGTTTCAAAGAGTCCTCCAAAATAAATTATAAATCCAGTTTTCAAACGTTTATTTGATGATAGTTTAAATAAGAAGGTAAGATAATCATAATTGAGTTCGAGAATTTAAGGGGAAGAAAAAAATTAATGGGAAGAAATGTTAATGTTATTAAATAAATTAAATAATGAATAAAATAATAAAGACATATAAAAAAAGATAGAAAAATCAATTGAAAGTTATAGAGATTAATTTGAGGTAAAAGATAAGTTGCCTCAACTAAAATTGAAGGATAAACCAAAAGTTACAGAACATTTAATTGATACTTTAATGAAAGAGTTATAAGATAATAAGAAGGTTGCTCTTTAAGAATTAGTGGAATAATTTTAAAGCATTTTGACAGTTAATAAATTAAACAAAAGTCGTGATATCTATAATAAAATTACAATATGATTATTTTATATATATTTATATTTTCAGATAGATATCTATATATTTAGATTTAAGTCTCAATTATTATTTAAATTTATTTTGTTAGATTCTTTAATAAATGAAAACAAAATTATGAATAAATATAAAAAATTATTAAGTTTATTAAAGTCAAATTGATATTTTTTATTTTGTTATAATGACTGATCGACCAAGAACAACAAGTTTACAAAAATAACAGATCTTATAAAACATTTAATATAAATTTTAGAAGATTGACCCAACTTTTTAAATAAAAAATTTTATAGGGTAAAGCACAAACTTAGTGGGATAATAAATAAAGAAATGGGAAAAATAAAGTAGAGAAAAAACAGTTAAAGAATTGTAAGTTATGAAAGCAATAAAATCTTTACGTCATCCATTGATTCTTGAAAGTTATATGGAAAAACCAACATTCGTTGAAGCAACTAAGCCTGAAACACCATATCAATCATAACATCATTAGATAAATTCATTAAGTCCATAAAATTAAAATACTTATGAATATATGCGTAAAAAATCAATTAAAAAGCCTTAAACTCCACTTAAGTATTTTAATGTTAATTAAGGAAGCTCTTTGAATAATATTCTGAATTAGTTCAAGATTAATTTTAAAATTCTTCAGAAGAAATGAAAAAGCTTATTTAATAGTATTCAAGTTCAGAAAAAGTTCTTGACCCTTTTAAGACTAAGACAAAACACTTTGAATATTTTACACCTAGGTAATTTTCATTTACAAAGAAAAGTAAATAGAATACATCATCCTACAAGTTATTAGGAAGTCCAATTTATAGGAAAAGAGAATTGTTAGTATAAAAAAATAACAATAATTTATAAAAATTGGATGAATTATAAACTGATTTAGATAATTTCAGAAAATATTTAAAAGAAATAAAAAAATCAAATTAAAAAAGTTTCCATAAGAGATAATTTTTAAAGGGCAAACTTGATTTCTTATTATGATAATTATTATTAAATATATATTTATTTGAGAATGATAATATTAATATTTAAGCAATATTAAAATAATTGAATTAATTTGTGAAAATAAATTAATATAAAAAAAAAGGCTGATTAATTTTTTGTTAATGAGTTTAGATAACTTATTTAAGCATCTAATTAGCTGAAATAAATTGCTCAGAGTCAGCTCATCATTCATATTATGATTTTTGAGTGTTACGAGTAGCATACATATTAAATAAAGGTATTGATATATATACATATATTAAATTAATATAATTATGTAAAAAATTGTTAACTTTTAAGTGAGGCTTAAATAAGTAGTCTAATTTGAGTAGATAAATGAAGAGTTAGAAAATCTAAAAATAATAGTAATAATTTTTGTTCAATTGTATATATATAGTTTTCTGAATTAATTTCAAGTCCATTAAATGATAATGAGAAGTTAAATGTGTACTATGAAATCAATTTAATACTAACAAGTTTGTTAGATTAAAAAAATAGATCAACTTAAGAAAAAGACTAAATTAAAAATTTAATGAAAATCATGATGAATAATCTTGAGGTTTAAGAAATGATGTTTAGAATTGCTGATGAAGAAAGTATTTAAGAATATTTATGTATAGCTGGTTAAATATAGGAAGTAAGAAGCTTAAGTATCAATTATAAAGCATCAAGGATTGGTCGTGAATATATTACATAAAAAGCAGAATAATCATAATAAAAAGTTGTTGAGAATTAGAATCTTAAATTAATAGTTGATTTTCAATAAGAATAATAGATTTAATTCAATGATAATATTTATGAATAATAATCAAAGGAAGAATAATCTTTAATTTAATCACCACCATCAAATAAATATATTGAGATAGCTTAAGATGAATTATAAGAATTAATAAATAGAAGTAAATACGAATTTGATTAAACTAAGATTGATTAAGTAAATATTTTTATTAAATTAGGCTTATGAATACGCAAAATAGGCTCAGGATAAATTTAAATCTGATATAAATTATTAATAATATTCAGAATATGTAGATTAAATAATTGTATAATATAATTATATGATTGAAAATGTTAAAGAATTGGATTCTGATGGTTGGATATTTGATGGCTCAAGTAATGGAATATCTGTGAAATATAAATTTCCAGAAAATACTTCAACTGCTTCTATGCTAATGGAAACTAAGATTCCTGTAAATGCAATAAGAGTTTTAGCATTAGTAAATGAAATGGATTTAAATTATTTATGGGTTCCATTTTGTAAAAGAACTTATGTTAATAAAGTTTTAAATAGAGCTTGTAAGGTTTGTACATCAGAAATGTATTTCCCTATAATTCCAGATAGAGAATGTGTTTTTGTTGGTGAAGGATATGATAGATTATAAGTTAATGGAACTATTACATTATTATCAAGATCTGTAGATAGTGATAAAGAATTTTTAGAAAAGAATGGAATATCTATACCAGAAAAATCTAGGTTTGTTAGAATGTATATTAAATATTATATTTTTGAAATTACTCCTATTGATAAAGATTCATGCTCAATAAGAGCTTGTACAAATGTGAATCCTAAAATCTCGATGGTTCCTAATAGTGTTTTAGCTTATATTGGAAGAAAAGTATTACTTATATTTTATATTTTAGTTTGCTCATATTTTAATTTCAAAAATTGTTAATTTTGCAAAAACATTCGAAAAATCTCCTTTTTATCCTGTTTATTTGGAACATATAGAATTTTATAATTGGTTAGAAGAAAAATTAAAAAACCATCTTAAATATTGAATAATAATTTGTACTATTTAATATTTTTATTTTTATCTAATAAATCAAGCCAATTATTTTTAAGCTGATTATTTTAATTGTTTTATGATAGGAGCTGCTAGCCTTTTTCTTTCAAAAGCTTCTTATGTCAATTTAATTTATTCATCACTTAATGCTAATCTATGTCTTCCAATTTATTTTTCCATAGTATTAAAAAATGCTTCAGATCCAAAATCACTCAAAGCAACTTATTAAGTCATACTGACTAAATCATTCAAAGGAATATATCTTTATTAAATCAAATTCAATATTACCTATATAAACGATCAGTCACAATTTTTTTTTCAAATAATTACCAAAGAGAAGCATCTTTAACATTTATTTTACCGCAAGTTCCAATAATAGTTGCAAAAGAGACTGAATGATCTTTTGTTAAATTTGGAACAAATTCTTTCAATGCTGGTAAAACATATTCATAGAAATCTTCATCAGCATCTAAATCTAATTCATTTATTCTTTAAAAATATTAAATTATAACATTTTACCTTTAAAATGCATATGCTACTTAGTGATCAGTTATGATATCAAGATTTTCTCTTATTAATACTCCAAATTATCTATTTGAGTATGCTCCTATTAAAGCATTTGACATTCTTTAATATGCATATGGATTTACATCCCAAATTGTTGGAATTTTTCCTTTATTTAATATTTTATATTACTTGCTTATGATAAATAAAATCTAATTGCAGCTTTTTAGAGCATTTTTAATTATTAATATTTATTTTTATAATACTCATTCCAATTATATAGCCAAAGCTAAATTAGACTTCTTCTATTCATTAGCTTCATTAGAAACCTTTTATAATTGTTATCTCAATGCATCTATTTCATTGAATGCATTTACTAAAGTTAAACTAAGAGCTTGTTCTTTTTATTCCAATTCTTTTTATTTTGACAATTATTCTTATAATTTATCAATTTCCTATAATATTTTAAAAAATAATCTACATCTTAAGATTCTTCAAATAATTTATGCAATTATTCTAATTCTTTACTCAAGCCTTATTTTTATTCATCAGAAGTATTTAATTTATTTCCTTATGCATCATATTTTACTCTCATTCTCTCTATTTCACTAGATAATAAGGCCACTTTATTTTCAAGTAAATACTTTAATTATTAATTATAATTATTACCTTTTCTTCTTATAATTTTTCAATCTTCTTCTTTAATTCATCAATTATTTATTCATAATTTTGATTGTTACTTACTTCTGTATTCAATTTTTCTATTTAATTTCTCAAATCAGCAATCTAAACTTATTATTAGGTCAAATCAATTTGTAATTTTTAAGATCTAAATAATTATAAAATAACATTATATATTACTCTGCTACTAAATCATTATTTTTATCTCTTAATTCTTCGATTAAATCTTAGAACTTCTAAATGTCATTTTCTTATCCACTAATAACATTCTATAATTCAGCAATTTAAGTATTTTAAGCTTCTAAGTTTTTATGAGAATTTTAGAGTTATTAGTATTTCTATTCTAATTATTTATAGGATTCGTCTCTTGAATTATTTTCTTACACCTTCTAATCTAATTATTATTTAAGATTATTATTATCTAAAATTTATTATTTAGTTTCATCTTAACTAACTCTCAAGAGATGTTCTAAATTTTTATTAGCTTCATTAATTAGTTGTTGTTCAAGATTTCCTATTTTATCTGCTAAAACTTAATTATCTGTTTCTAATTATTTTAATTAAGCAATTTAAGCTTCCAAATCAACAATTTGTTTTTTTAATTATTCAGCTTCATTTTATCTACTGTTTAATTTATATTAAAATCTCTCTACTTCTGTTGATAACATAGCTATTTTATTTTCTAAATCATTCTTTACTCTCAAGGCATCATTCAATTATTTATTTAATGTTTCATTTGCTTATAATTCATTATTATAATCTTATTACAATTTTTATAATCCTTCATCTAATATTTATATTTTATTTGGCAATTCACTAAGTTATGAAATACGAGTTGAGAATTAAGAGTTCTCAACATATAATTTTTCATTCTCTTTACTTAAATCATTAAATTAGCCACTATAATCTTTTAATTATTTTTATAAAGCTTCGATATGTTATTGTTATTATTTATTTATAGCATTTTATTGAGCCACTTATTAAGCTATCACTCGTAGTTCATCTACTCTAATAAATTTAAAATAATTAATACTCTTTCTCTAATTATTATAATTAAATCAAATAAGAAGATAAAAGTTAATCAACTTTATTTTTTTCATTCAAATTACAATTGGCTTAAGCTTCTGCTGTTGTTAATTTAGTATTTAATTATATAACCTAATTTTCTAAAATCTATAATTTTTCTTATAAACCTTGATTCTAAGTTTCTTATTCTCTTAATTCAGCTATTAATTAAGAATTCTAAAATTTAAGATCAGGAATAGTTTTATCATTTTCTAAATCATATATCTTTTTATTTGCTTCTGAAAGTTCTTAACCTTTCGTCTATAATAAGGCATTTAATCTTTAAATATCTTAAGCCTATGAATTATTCTTAGATTCTAAATTAGAAGCTTAACTTTAGAATTTAGAATTTTCTTGACTCATTTAAAGTAGTTTTTATTATAATTCAGCAACTAATTTAGCTTAATCTTATAATCCTGAATAATCTTTGGCTTACAATCTCTTAAAATCAGATTGAGAATTAGTTAATTACTTTTATAATTCATTAATTTTAGCATGTAAATCTGTAATAGTCTACTCTTTCTATTTAAGATTTCCTTAAAGTTTATTTAATTCAGTTTTAAGTTAGATAACTTCATTTTCTGCAGCATTTCTAGCTTATTCATTTAATCTCAATTATTCTAATTATGAAAGCAATGATGAAACCTTATCTTATAATTAACCAATATCTTCATTTTTTAATTTTAATTATTTATTCAAGGTTTCTCTTTCTTACTAGAGTAATTAAAGTCTATTTTCTAGATTATATAATTCATTGAGTTATTATTCAGCTATTTACAATTTGCTTAAAGTTGTATAATATTATTTTCTAAATTGATCTAACTCTCTTTTAGTTTGATCAAGTTAATCCTTTAATTTTTAATTATCTAATTTCAAATAATTAATATTCTTTAATTCACATTCTTATTATGTAATTCTAAGTGTAAATAAAATTAATACTTTAATTTAAGTTCATTAATCATTTTAATTCTGCTTTCTAAATCTTATTTTAATTTATCATATTATTTTTCTTAGAAAGCAAGTCTATCTTCAAGATCAGAAATAGCAGCATCCTTAGATAAAAGTTATGATTATAATTGTAACATAGAGTTAGTCGTTTCTGAACTAGTAACCATTTTTCTTTCAATAACTTCACTCACTTGTTATTATTATGATCTGACTGATCCTGATAAAGGATTATTTTATTCAAATTATCTAATGATTTCAAGTAGTTTGATTCTTTCTTATTATTAATCTTCATATAGCTTTTTCCAAACATCAACATCTTTAAGTAAACTATTTACTTAAGCCTTATAATCTCTAATAAGTAATTCATTTCCTTCTAATTCAATTACTCTTGCATAAATTTCTGAATTCTTCTTTCTTAATGATTCAATATCTTATGATTTTTATGATAATAAATCATTAAATTTAGTTACTTACAATCTAACTGTATTTAATTCAAAATTCTCATTTTCTAATTGTGTTAATCTTACTCTCATTTTTTCACATTCTGTAGCTTTCTCTCTAAGTAAAGCTGATATTTATGTATTGTCTTATCTCAATAAATTGATTCTATCTTCTAATTAGACTGACTTAATATAATAACCAAATCTTTACTTTTTCAGCAGCATATCTACACTTATCATATAATGATTCAAGCTCAAAATACTTTTTTCTCCACATGCTATGATCTTTCTCCATATTATAAATTTATGCTTCTAATTGTTCCACTCTATCATCTTCTTTGTGCTCCATTACTACTTACTTATAAACTGCATTCATTGGAATTCCTTAAGGTAAAGACATTGAAAGATATTTATTAAAATATATATAAATATATTAAATTAATCATGATATTTAATTCTAATTTTATTATGTATTAATAATACCTATAATTTATTTCGACTTAATTCATATTTCTCAAGTGTTTTTCTTGATTATTCCAATTCTTATTTTAATTTATTTACTGTATCATCAATTTAATTATTATTTTATATTTTGTATTATTCAAAATGCAAATCTCTAGAAACAGAAGATTCTCCCTTATTACTACTACTCTCTTTTGATACCTTTGGACTAGCTTAATTACTTTTTTTAGCACTACTCTTTTTTACTTCTCTTTATTCTTCATACAAAGGCACATATTTTTAAAGCAAATAAAACAAAAAATCTAAAAGTATTTCATTCTCGCTCATATTTTATTCTGAATATTTCTTACATTTTCCTTATTATTTCTCAAAATCTCTTTCATATTTTTCTAAATATGGTAATGATATTTCTGCAAATTTATCAAAAAATTCCTCATATTACTTTTATTCCTTTTCTAACTACTAATATTTTTACTCTGATTAACCTGTTTCTTTGTTCCTTTTCATTAATGTTTTTATTTATTCATCATATTTAAATTATAATTAATGTACTATTTCTTCATGTTCTTCTATCTTTGTCTATAATTCATCTTTTAATTCATCTATCTATCTTTATAACTATTTAATTTAATATTGTGACTCAATCATACCTTTAAACTTTTCTCTTTATCTTCTGAAGTTGTCAATCTCTTCTATTAATCCAACCTAGAATTTGACATATTTAATTCCAATTTTATTTTTCTTATCTCATTTTATAAAAAAGTCACTGTTGCATCTAATTCCTTTCTATCACTATTTAGTTGTAATAACAACTATCAATTCAAATTTGCTATATATACTTAGAATGTTGTCGAAAATTCAAATCTCAAATCATTTGCATTATAAGTATCCTTTTATGTATTAACTATTATTTTACTAATAAATGGTTTATTGTTGTTTCTGTATTAGTTATATTAATATCCCTTTATTAAAGCATTTAATTGAAACATTAAGCAAATAATTAAATGATCTTCACAACCAATTAATTTTAATTTGTTTAAGGATTTACAATTAAATTAGATAATTTCTTTTCTTTTAGTAAATAATATTTTTCAAGCATGTCTAATGGTAACGCTATCATATATATCATTGGAAAATAATTTACCTGAATACTTTAGTAACTATTCACAAATATCAAGTAAATGTTTATATTCCATTTTATTTTCAAATTTTTTAACTAAATTATGAAATAAATTTATGGTTATTCAATTAAATAAGCTATTGTGATATTTCTCATCACTAAATTCAAAATCACAAATTAATGAAATCTACTCTACTTCATTTTGAGTTTGAACGAACAAAGAATTAAAGAATAATTTTTTTATTAATTTTATATATATCTAAATAATAATGAATCCAAACTCATTCAAACTCTACAAATCAATTTGCTCTACAGTGACAGCAGCTGGTTTGACATTCACAAACTTTACAAATAAAACATTGATTGGGAGATCAGTTTAATATATTGAGTATATGAATATTTATATTATTGAGCCATTTGATTTATACAAAGGCACCAAGATTATCATACATAGAACATTATGCCCCAGTATATACACCAAAAAGAGTCACATATGCTGCTCCAATCTGTTTAGCTTTAGCTGGTACAGTGTTATTAGCTGAGGTATAAAAATAATAAATAACAATTGATAGATAGCCTGGACAAACAATGCCAAAGAATAAGCAAATAATTATTTTATTGCAACAAGAGAATGAAATATATTATTTAGAAATAATAAAATAAAATATAAAATAATGAAATTTAAGCTTCTTTTAGTGATTTTAGTACTATGTAGTACATAGGATATGCCAGACCTGGAATTTCCAAAAAAGACGCCAGTAATAATGCTAAATGATAACAATTGGGATGCAATAACACATTTAGGTAATGAGGGATTAGAAAAACCATGGTTTATTTTCTTTTGGGCTCCATGGTGTAAAGGATGTCATAGAATAGTTAAAATTTGGGAGGAAATGGTAACTACTTATAATGGTACAATAAATATTGGAGCTATTGACACGTAAGAATATATATATAATAAAGATATAATTAAGAACTTATTGGTGATAGGATCGGTATAACTAAATATCCAACCTTTGTATTTTTTGATACTGATAATAAGATGTATTTTTATAATGGTAAATCTCTATTCAATCATTAGAATCTACAAACATTGGTAATTTTACTTAATTTGTTGATGAAAAGAAATATCTTCATCTAGAACCTTATGACACTCCAAAAGAAATTGATCACTTTAAAAAATGGTTAAGAAGAATATTCTCATTAAAAATGGTAATCTAATTGTAATATTTAATAGGTTCCTGTTTATGTGGTTGTTGCTTTTATTGTAGTTTTAACATCGTTATGCATTTATGGCAATAAATAAGAAAAGAAAGATAAATCAGATGCTAAAAGGGTTAAATTAGAATTATTTAGAAAATCATTAGAGCAATAAGAAAGGGACGAGTATCTTAAAT